AGCGCCACTTCCGGCTTTTTTTTTCTGCTTATGTGGTGCTGAGGAATCGAACCCAGGGCCTCAAGCATGCAAGGCAAGCGCTCTACCACTGAGCCACCTTCCCAGCCCTAAGACAGAATTTCTGAGTTGTAAAAACTTGAGAACAATTTTGCTGATGTATGTCTTAAAATACCAGTTGACAGAAGCGCAAGATGAAAGAGCTCATATCTCAGGAGTATTCCTAGAGCACATTCACTCCATGAATAGAGACTAAAGAAGTGTGATTTAATGTGTATTTGTTCCATAGTACTGTGCATGAGACATTTGCTAAAAGCTTTATGCTGCGCAATGAATAAGACAGTCCTTGCTCTAAGGTATCAATACCTTCACAATGATAGAGGAATATGATGTTTACTTTTGCAAATCAACTTGACTGGGCCACATGTGCCAATGTTTGGCTCAACATTTTAAATACGATTGTGAGAGTGTTTCTGGAAGAGATAAACATTTGAATCTATAGACTGAGTAAAGCAAATTGCCCCCCACAATGTGAACAGTCCTCATCTAATCAATTAAAAATCTGAGTATAACAAAAAGTCTAAGTAAGAAAGAAGTGCTCCTGCTGGCTTAAGCTAAAATATTAATCTTTTCTGGTCTTCTGATAAGGACCAAAATTTCAGCTTTTCTTGTGTCTAGGACATGTCATCTTTCATAATGGCAGCTGTCTTGGTTCTCAGACCTTCTTCTGTATCTCTAGTTTATGGGCTGTAGATTTTGGGATTTCTCATCCTCCACGATCACTCCTTTTAATATAACTGTATATTGTATTGCACACACACACACACCTATTGGTTCCATGTTCCATTCCCTGAAGAACTCTGGCTCGCAGTAATGAAGACTGCACCATGGAATTGAGGTTTGAGGTACCAGGGAACCTGAAACCTTCCTCCAGCTTCAGATCCCACAGCTCCATTCACCATTTCGTATTGGAAAGTATGTGTAGAAAGTGAGGTATAAGTGGGCTGGGAAGGTGGCTCAGTGGTAGAGCGCTTGCCTTGCATGCTTGAGGCCTTGGGTTCGATTCCCCAGCACCACATAAGCAGAAAAAAAAGCCGGAAGTGGCACTGTGGCTCAAGTGGTAGAGCGCTAGCGTTGAGCTGAAGAGCTGAGGGACAGCACCCAGGCCCAGAGTTCAGGCCCCACGACTGGACCCAAAAAAAAAAAAAAAAAAAAGAAAAGAAAAGAAAGTGAGGTATAAACATCAACATGTGACTGTTAGCACTATCCCCACCTCTGGTCCTCAGCTCCACCCAGACCTGAGCTCCTCCCTGCCCTGGAGTTCCTGCCATGCAGCTGGCCACTCCATCTCTCCACCCAGACCCACTTGTGCATGCACCTACCTGCGCCAGGACATCCTGCTACCGGGATAGGGATGGATGTCTTGTGCTCCCTCTCCTGGGAAATATGGCCCCTCTAATAAACCTTAGAATGATCTTTCTCCTGTGCCTGCTTGCCTCTGCGCGGTCCCCTGGGATGGACGTGATGGATTCTTACAGTGACAATATATTGTGTACAAGTGGTGGATGACTTCCTTATCCAGGGAACTGGAGCTAAACAGTAAACAGCTTACAAGTTGCATAACATTAGTCTACCCCAGCCTCCCAGCCAGTTTAGGGTTGAATTAGCCTACACCCAGGAGAGAAATCTGAATTCCTGTAAAGCCAGAACTGATTGGCCTCTCTGGAGACCCCTTGGCAATCTGAGAGTTTTTACTGGGAAAATGGCCATCCAGAGTCCCAATCCTTTCAAGTCTCACATCTCACAAGAGCCAAATTCCAGATTGCATGGCATGGCCAAAATGCCCTATGTAACCTGGCCTCTACCTACCCTCCCACTGCATCCCATAGCTACTTCCTCTCCTTCACTGGCTTCCTTCCATTTCCCCACACAGGGGAGCCTCTGTGCCATGGGATTTTTCACTCATTTACTTACTTATTCATTGATACATTCAACTAGTTGCTGAGTAGCTACCATGTGTCTAGTACAGCAGTAGTGCTAGGTATGAAATGTATACAAGCTAGAAGGATAATTTTACAGAGACTATATTCTAGTCAAGGGAGAAAGAGGTAGCAGGGACACAAATAACACAAATAGGCTAATTGCAGAGTGATATGTGTAAGGTCTGCTCTTGGCCATGCAGGCCCTAGCCTCCCCAACTCCTGCACAAGTCTCTTCCCAGTACCTGCGTCACCTAGGTAACTGGCACACCTGGAAGCAGTCACCTCCCTCTCCTCTGAGGTCACATCATCTGACGCTGGTCTGGTCCATATGACCTGCATCAACCAACAGAATATCAAAAGACATGGTGAAAGTGGGGATTTAAAGGCACCACAAGGTAGTCTTGCAGTTTGGAAACTCTTAAGCTACATAAGGAAGCCAGCTAATCTGGCTCCTGCTGATAGGCCGCCTATCTCAAGACACAGAAGTGGGGCTATCTATACTGGTCTGCTTTGCATTACTATAATGAAATGACTGAGGCAGTGGGCTAAGTGACTCAAAATAGAGGGCTATTTAGTTTGCAGTCCTGGAGGTTTGAAGGCGTAGTACTGACATTGACTCAAGCTCTAGTGAGACTCTTATGACAGATGCCATGGGCAACAGACTAAAAGGGAGGAAAAGCTGTTTGAGTGGGACCAACTTAACTTTTGTGACAATCTTTTAGAGAACTAATCCCTAATCCTGTTCCAAGGACATGAACACCCCCACATCTTCGAGGTCTACCATCTCCCACTACCACACTGAGGACCAAGCAGCCACCTCATGAACCCTTGGGGTATACATTCAAACCATATCCAAACCATACCACCACTCAAAATAATCCAGCCAGCAGCAGACCCATCAACTAACCAAAAAGGAAGGACAGAGCCCAGCTGAACAGAACAAGAACCACCATCCCACTCAGAAACCTGTCTGTGGCTCCTGTCTGTCATCCCCAGCACTCAGGAGAATGAGACAGGAGGATCAAGTTTGTGGCCAGCCTGAGCTTCCCAGCAAGTACCAGCCTAGGCTACATAGAAAGAATTCTCTCTCTATATATATATAAAAAAAAATCCCTTCGCTAGCATCATCTTATATGGTCATATGTAGGTAGCATTTGACCTTTTCTACTTGTCTGGTAAGATTATCCTAGAGGTATACTAATTGTTGCAAATGTGGGAAATCATGGGACATATGTTTCTTTGGGCCTGGCTTGCCTCACAATATAATCTTGTCCAAGTCTTTCCATTTCCTAACGAAATAAACCCCAAGATAGGGACACAAGAGGTTTTATCTTTCTTGCTGCTGTTTTTAATGTACTTATAATGTATATGTGATTATTTTGTTTCTTTTGTATGTTCTTCCTCCATGGAATAACCCGTTTTCAGTATATTTGTTGTGGTGCCCTTCATCTTGTATATAGTGTTTTCTAATTTGGGGAGGGGACAGGAAATAACAAAATGCTGAAACAAGGATACAGGTTCACCCATCATAACAATGAGATAGATGTACAAGACATTATGTTGGAAACGAACTTTACAACTTGCGAGGGGGGGGGGAGAGAGGGAGGAGTTAGGGAGGTGCTGAGGGAAGGGATAGTAGGGGAAAAACAAAGGAGAGGATAAGAATGCTATAAAGGAAACGTACTCATTACCTTACTCAGATAACTGTAACCCCTCTGTACAGTATCTCTGTACAGTATATTTACAATAAAATATATATACTTTAAAAAATCCCAAGTCATTTCTAAACTATAGAATTAGCTTGGGTGTCCATCAAAGAAAATGTGATATATATATAAACATCTATATGTACATGCATTTGTGTGTGTAGGACTATTATTCAGCCATAAAGAAGACTGAAGTTATGTCATTTGCAGGCAAATGGATGGAACTCAAAATCATCTTGTGAAATGAAATAGCCAGGGGCTGGGAAGGTGGCTCAGTGGTAGAGCGCTTGCCTTGCATGCATGAGGCCCTGGGTTCGATTCCTCAGCACCACATAAGCAAAAAGAAAAAAGCCGGAAGTGGCGCTAGGGCTCAAGTGGTAGAGCGCTAGCCTTGAGCTGAAGAGCTGAGGGACAGTGCCCAGGCCCAGAGTTCAACAGGCCCCACAACCTGACCCCCCACCCCAAAAAAATGAAATAACCAGACTGAGAAAGACTAACAATATTGCATTTTCTCCCACTTGCAGATTCTCAAACAGAAGCACCAAAGGACACACGCATTTGTGCAAAATAAACCGTGCTGGGGTTGCGCGCAGTACTGAAGATCACATTTCCTTTGCTAGACAGGGGAAGTGAGCAGGGTCAGTCCAGGTGAAGGAAGGGCGGGTGCGCCACCTGGATGGATGGGCCAGGCGTGCGGGGAGGGGGGGGGGGACCGCAAAGCCTGAGTGAGACCTTGGTGGGCCTGGAGGCACGGCGTGCACAAACGTCAAGGCCGCCGGCGTTGCCAGGCAACCGGGAAGGCTGGCGCTTGTGACCTCACGGTGGCACGCGTGGCCGCCGCGGGCGCGTCGGTGCGCTCGGGCCTGCAGGACGGGAAGCCTGCTTCGGGCCTATCATTCCCAGCGCCTCACTTCCCCACACAACCCTTCCCACAATAAAAGCCGGCCGAAGGAGCGAGCAGTAAAACATGAGGTGGGAAGCCCAGCTCTTTTGTTTCGTGTTCTTCTCGGGCACGTACGGCGCTTCACCCCGACCGAGGCTGCGCCGGCGCCCCCCGCGGGCGGACTGGCTTTCCCGGCTAGGCTCACCGACCCCTGGAAGGACAGGCGGCGACTGGGCGTCAGGCTCGGGGCCGCGCGAACCGAAGGCGGGAAAGCCCACCGGCTCCCCTTCCGCGGTCCGCAGGGGTGGCCGCGTCCTCGCCCTCGCCTGGCCGCCCTTCCCGCGCGCTGGCGGGGCACGCGCCGCGGCTGCGGGAGCGCGCGCCGCGTCTCCATAGAAACTCCCGGGCGGGCTCCGCGGCGGCGCGCGGGCCAGACTCCCCGGCTCCCGGCAGCGGCGGGTCGCGCCGTGGCGCGCGCCGGGTCGTCTCCGAGCGCCGGTGGTTGGGCTCCAAGCCCCAGGGTCCCCCGGCGGTGCGCGAGGCAAGATGTTGAGGCGCAGCCTGGAAAGCCGGTAACAGCCGGGGCCTAGCCGCCCAGGGCCGCCCTCACGCGAGGCGAGGGCTGGGGTAGGCGAAGCGGAGCCTCTACGCCCCTCTCCCCCTAGGCCGCGGCGTCCGGTTCCGACCCTGAGCTGGAGGCTGCTCGGAGCCCACTGCGCCCTGGGGCCTACCTCCCCTGGGTGCAGTGAGTGCCGCAGCCGAGAGAGCCTGGGCCCAGCCGGCTGCCCCGACCCACAACGCCCGGGGCGCTCCGTAAGTCTGGAGGTAGCGGACGCCCGGGCGGCGCAGCGCCCAGCAGCCGCCATCCCTCCGCGGGGAGGCCCACCCCGGGCCTCGGTCTGGGCCTGCTGGGCCCGCATCCCGAGGCCAGGCCTGAATGGGGTCCTGGAGGAGAGCAGTGCTCTCTCCTGGAGATGGGGATCTTTGGGAGGTTTTGCATGCAGACAGCCTGATCGTTTGCTTGCCTAGATGAACGTGCAGCCATCTCATCCCTAAGGAGAATGTTTTGCTTTTTGTGTCACCTTTTTCTCTAGGGACGCTCAAACCAGACAACTGCAAGATGCTGTCACAAATGTGGAGAAACATTTTGGAGAGCTGTGCCAAATCTTTGCTGCTTATGTGCGGAAAACTGCCAGACTGCGAGACAAAGCAGACCTCCTAGTGAATGAAATCAACGTGTATGCCTCTACAGAGACTCCAAACCTAAAGCAAGGCCTGAAAAACTTTGCTGATGAGTTTGCCAAACTTCAGGATTATCGCCAAGCTGAGGTATGGAGTGAGGGCACGCCACTTAAGCAGTGGGCTGAATCTACCTAACCATAGGGGTTAATCCACAGTAATCAACTTGGAATTTTCTTGTCAGTAACCTAATGCCTATTGGAGGGAAACCTTTTGTGATTTATCTTGCTTTTTCTAAACTTTAGGGCGACTTCTTCCCTCCTATTCCCCCACCCCCGGGGCTTGAACTCTAGGCCAGGACTCTATCCCCTGGCTTCTTTTGCTCAAAGCTAGCGCTCTGCAGCACTGTTTGAGCCAATGCACCACTTCCAGATTTTTCAGAGTTCACTGGAGATAAGAATTACGGAGTTACCTGCCAGGGCCAGCTCTGAACGGCAGTCCTCAGATCTCAGCCTCCTGAATAGCTAGGATAACAGGCGTAAACCACAGCGCTGGGCTTGGGGCATCTTTTGAAGTCTTAAAATTAGCCCACTTCATTTGGCATTTATACTTAAAAAGAACAGAAGCGTGTCTTGTGCCTTGCTTGGGTCTATATACCAGATGGAAAATGTTAAGAATGGTAATATTATGAATCAGTGAATACATAGGTTAATAAGATATTGCTGATACTCTGGAAATTTGACCACTGGGGAAGCTTATTTATATCATGAGGCAAACTGCTAGTGAGACCTTGTGAGGTAAGGTCGGGTTGTATTTTTTGTGTGACAAGGGATGAAATACCAGTTTTTGTTTTGTTTTTAATCAGGATCTCACTATGTAATCTTAGGGTGGTGCCAAACATGCCATCTTCCAGCCCCTGCTTCCAGAGTACTGGGATTACAGGCCTGTACATCATTTTAAATTCCATTACTCTTTTTGTACTTCAATCATCTGGACTTTGGGTTGTTTTGTTTTGTTTTTGCTTGTTCTGGGGCTTGAACTATGGCCTGAGTACTAAGCCTGAACTTCTTTTGCTCAAGGCTAGCACTCTACCACTTGAGCCACAGTGCTACTTCTGGCTTTTTCTATTTATGTGGTATTAAGGAATTGAACCCAGGACTTCATGCATGCTAGACAAGCACTCTACCACTAAGCCACATTCCTACTCCTGTCTTTTGGTTCTTTTAAGGCTGAAAACATAAGTGTTAACTATCAAAAAGTAAAATAAGAATATTAATCTTTGAAACCATCACTTCTAATGCAAACAAAACTTTGAGCAGCTATTAATCATACTTGATTACATTTTAGAAAAAAATGTCCTACATCTCTTCTATAATAAGCAGTTCTCAGTTATATATAACTGGAGAGTTTCAAAACTAATTTATATTCACAGATAATTCTAAATTTTCAGTCAAATAATTTAGCCCTTCTAGAAAAGTTTTTTTGGCAGCACTAGGTTTTGAACTTAAGCTATACCTCCAAACCAGCCCCTCCTTTAGAAAACTTTTATGCTATTTATCAAATAGCAAAGCAACTTGATTTACATTTTTGTTCTTTTATTTCTCTTGCTTACCAAATGGTGCAGTGCTAATGAACAATGACAAAAGGTAGGCAATGAAAGGTAGAACTGAAAAATTTTGAATAACCCTTACACTGGAAATCAGCATATGTATTATTAGTGGTATAGACTGCATCCTACTGGATATTTATGATTTTGACTTTAGGCTTCCAACTATTTTATTTTTTGTTTTTGTTGATTGTGGGGCTTTGAACTCTGGGCCTGGGCACTGTCCCTGAGCTCTTCAGCTCAAGGCTAGTGTTCTAATACTTGAGCCACAGTGCCACTTCTGGCTTTTTCTGTTTATGTGGTGCTGAGGAATCGAACCCAGGGCCTCATGCATGCGAGGCAAGCACTCTACCACTGAGCCACCTTCCCAGTCCCTTCCAACTATTTTAAGTGCTTGATGGGAACTTCATTTTTTTTCATAGCCCTACAACCTTTTAAAAGGAAGCATCCATACAACATTTTGTTTACAAAAACTAATATGAAATGAAATGTACTCATTGACTGTGTAAATATGTGTCATTTTAAAAGTTTTTTTCTTGCTTAAAAATACCACCTATTCATGTTAAGCAATATGTCTTCATATTTATTACTTGTCCTGGAAAAAAGTTAATGTCTAAAGTTGTTTTTCTTATGCTATACTTAAATATGTACTTGCCTTAAAAAAAGCTCTTCAGTGTCTTCTGTGATCCTTTATGAATTATAAAAATGGTCAGCCATACAGTTTGAGAGATCAATAACACTAACCACCTTTAAGCTTTTACAACTTAGCAGTGATGCAAAGAAAAATCGTATGGTTGAAACAATAATCTGAAGCTTTTTACTTTTGGATAGTGTTTCTTTTTTTTTAATGTTTCCAGTATGCCATATCTTTCAACTTTAATCTTCCTACAAGGTTGAGCTATTAGAGTTCATAAACAGTATCTGACACTGTGGTAAATGGTGGCTGCCTTAAAATTTGAGTTGTCTTAAAACTTACTAAAAAACTAATACTTTGTCGGGCTGGGAAGGTGGCTCAGTGGTAGAGTGCTTGCCTTGCATGCATGAGGCTCTGGGTTCGATTCTTCAGTACCACATAAGCAAAAAGAAAAAAGCCGGAAGTGGCACTGTGGCTCAAGTGGTAGAGTGCTAGCCTTGAGCTGAAGAGCTGAGGGACAGTGCCCAGGCCCAGAGTTCAGGCCCCACGACCGGACCCCCCCCCCCCAAAAAAAAAACAACTAATACTTTGAGGTTAAAAAGAACTTTGTAGGGGCAGGGAAGGTGGCTCAGTGGTAGAGTGCTTGCCTTGCATGCATGAGGCTCTGGGTTTGATTCCTCAGCACCACATAAGCAAAAAGAAAAAAGCCAGAAGTGGCACTATGGCTCAAGCAGTACAGTGCTAGCCTTGTGCTGAAATGCTGAGGGACAGCGCCCAGGCCCAGAGTTCAGGCCCCATGACTGACAAAAAAAAAGAAAAAGAATTTTGTAGCAAGGATGAGCTCCTCATCATATTTGATGCCAAATGCTTTTTTGTTGTTGCAACTAGGGTTTGTATCCGGGCTGCTTGCTTGCTCAGCTGGCACTCTATCACTTTAGCCACCAACCTTTTTTCTGGTTAGTCTCTTAGACTTTACTGCTCAGGCTGGCTTCAAAATACAATCCTCCAGATCTCAGCCTCCTGAATATAAGATATTATCAGTGCCCAGCTTTCTTTTCTGATTTTTGTTTGTTTTTGGCCAGTCCTGGGGCTTGAACTCAGAGCCTGGGCACTGTCCCTGAGCTTCTTTTGCTCAAGGCTAGAAGGTGGTACCACCTGAGCCACTTTATGTGGTACTGAGAAATCAAACCCAGGGCTTCATGCATTCTAGGCAAGCGTTCTACCACTAAGCTACCTTCCCAGCCCCATCTTTTATGTTTTCAATGTTACTGCGTAGCTTAAGTTTTCAAATGTGTTTGAGTTTAGATTGTGAGTCTTATCAATTTCTGGTGATAATCTGTTAACTCATAATGTCTTAAGCAGTGTCATTTTAATTTGAAATTTTTAAAAATATGAACAGTAATTATTTCAGGTTAAACAGCACAGGTTTTATTTCAGTATTTAAGTTTTGATATCTCTTTCTTTTCAGTTATATTTTATAATAATTTCCAATAGGTAGAAAGACTTGAAGCCAAAGTAGTTGAACCTTTGAAAGCTTATGGAACCATTGTAAAAATGAAAAGGGTAAGTAAATCCATTTTTTTATGTCATTATTAGTATTCTGGTTGATTGTGAGTTTTCCAACTATAGTTTCAATAAAAATTATAAAGTAACATATAGCAATTTTTTTACATAGCACTGAAAGACAGTTTCTTGCATCATTGAGAATAATGAAATTTTTTAGTAGAGTTAGTAGTATATTTCTGTAGCAGCAAGGATATTACTATTTAAAATTTAAATATCTAATATTTATAGTAGACAAGTTATCTTAATAAGTGAATGTGTCTATATTTTTATTCTAAAGCAGCTAATGAGATTTTTAAATGAGTATGACAAGTATAGTGGCATATGCTTGTTATTTCTGTATTTAGGAGGCCGAGGCAATATTGAGAGTTCAAGGCCAGCCTGAACTACAAGTGAGGCCCTATCACAGGAAAAAAAAATCTGAATGTAACCATCACTATAATCAAATTATATGTATATATTTTTATGGTTGTAAGTTGAAATTGTCTCATTTGAGAGATGGCTAAAGAAATAATCTCTCATACATACATATACACATGCATGCATACACATTATGATGCCTACATCAAAAAAGACATTTTTCCATTCTTAAAACAGACTATATTTCATTTCTTAAATCAGACATTTTATTTTAAAATAATGCTATTTTCAGGAGGACCTCAAAGCAACATTAACAGCAAGGAATCGAGAAGCTAAACAGTTAACTCAGTTAGAAAGAACACGTCAACGAAACCCATCTGATCGTCATGTAATTGTATCCTTTGAATTTTTGTCTTAAAAAATGTTAAGGTATGCAATACATAGGAATCCTTCCTATGGAAGTTAGATAATCATAAAGCGATTATCCTATGTAATACAATATCCTTGTATTCTTTTTCCAATAAATTTTCCCAAAAAAATCCACTCATAAATACATTTGCAGATTAAGTTCAAAACTGACATTTTTTTTCACATGGTAGCTAACCAAATATTAATTATAAAATTAAGGACCTTCCATTAGTACTAATGTATTAATGCCCGCTGCTGTATTTTTGAGAAAAGGAAATAAATCCCACAATAATTCCCTTCATTCTCTAAAAAGAAACTCACATGAAACCAGTTACAATTTTGGGCTAAAAAAAATCTCAAGGGTAGAACACTTAAGAGTATAACGAAGTCCAGAAAGAGCACAAAGGGACCCAAATAGGAATATCTACTATAATAAGATTCTTTTGGTAAACACAACAAGCTCTTAAACTAGAATGTGCCTTGTTCATGGCTAACAAAAATATAGAATAGTTGCTAAGTGTTAGCAGCGAGGACTGCATAGAAAGTACTAATGTATCCCTGCTACCTCTTTTTCCCTCTTTTTCTTCCTTACATGTATCTCCTTCCTACTTCCTTAAGGTTGTTAACTACCCAGCTCAGCCAGAAACCACATAGAGGAGTGGCTCTTTGGGGGCATTTGAGGTTCCAGAACACCTTCATTCCTGAAGGGAACCCTTGAGCAGTGATTTGGGGGCTGGACCAGTTGTCAGGTCCCTCATCCCGTGGACCAAAGGTATATAAGCCCAACCTCATACTAAACAAAAATGGGCAGCTATAAGACTAGGAATGCCTATCGGAGGCTGGGACAGAAACATCTAGCCAATTATTGAGACTTAAAACCTCAAACTGGAAATTATAGTCTGTTCCAGAGAATGGTGGAAAATTCATGACTGACACATAAATCTCCCTCAGGCACAAGCCAAATTAGTTAATTAAGAATTAAGCCAGAGATAAAAATTGTTTTTTCCTAGGGACAGAGGTGTGTAAAAGCAGGTAGAATGTAACATCTTGCTTGAGCAGTTGGTAACTGAATATTCATTTTGGCACAATACAGAAAGAAAGGTATTTTTAAGACAAAGACTTCTGTGATGCTCTGTTAGAAGCACTGCTGTGGAGGACGTGCTATAACATATGCGGAACCGGTCTGGGCTCACTAGGGGGAAATAAATACAACAACCAGAGATTATAGTTAGAGGTCAACTGACTTGCTCACTTGGTCAAGATGTCTACAACTTGGGGGTTCTGACGATCTGAAACCAGAAAATATAGCATATATTTTTACTAAGAAAGACCCTTAAAATTCAACTGATTATTCAGAAATATGTTAAAGTTCAATATACAAACTTAAATAGAGTCACTCTGGTTGAAGAAAAGGAATCTTTAGGGTTCTACCTCCTTACCCCTAAAAGAGCCCAAGGTGACTTCTGAACAAGCTTCTTGTAACAGTTTGAAAAGGACCAGCCTTTTTTTTTTTTTTTTGAAAATGCTAAAAACAGAGGGTTACAGTTGTATAAGTCAGGCAAAGAACATTTCCTTTTGGATGTCATCATATCCCTTGCTTTCTTGTTTTCTAGCACCAGTTCTGTTCCCACTTTATAACTCATTTGAAACTACCTAATTCCATTGAATATACTGATTAACTGCATTCATTGAGCTATATCTTAAAATTTTAGTTAATACCAGTTGTTACGCATATTGGTGCATTCTAAAGTTCTGAAGCGTTTTCAGTAAAATGAAGAAATACTAGAAATCCATATGCTCTTTGCTAAAACTAGCTATGTGACTGGGTAAATTGCTGTGCTTATACAAAGGGATTTCAAACTTCCAGAAATAAAGTTGCCAGAGGGTGATAAAAGGTGAAGATAAATAGAACCCCAATTGTAGCTTCTGCTTCCCCAGGCTTTACTATGTTAGCCCAACTCTGTGTGTGTTTACAAATTTAAAATTAAAATATCAATAAACGAGGGAAGAGCCAAAAACAGTCAAACAACAATTAGAAGGCAGTCTGCTTGAACTGTCTGCAAAAGGTGAGCAGACATCACATAACTGAAATTTTACATAATAAACATTCTTATCTGAATGAGCTTATCTGCTCTATTTTACATTTGGACTCCTGATATAAAGAATTCCAAGTCCATAAAATAGATATAATCGAATATATATGTATTTAGTATCTTGAAATTGGGTGCTTAAGCTAATTGTAAGAGTATATAATTCTATAAAGGTACAAGATCTTAATTTATTGAAAAAGTTATTCTATTTGAAATGCATTTTTTCCTTTATGAAAAATTTCAGTCACAGGTGGGCAATAAAATGGTGTGTCAAGACATGGATCCTAATAGTAAACCCTTTCACTTGTTTCAATTTATATATTCCTTGGAAAAGAATGCAGTGGCCAAATGCTAGAATTATTACATGTTGCAGAACTTTTTTTTAGAACTTTGAATGTAATTTTCCCCACAATTATTGAATGATGACATTTTTATCAAGTATAATAATAGCATAAAGAAGAAAACATTTTTTTGGAATTAATTTTATCAGAAAATTGGGCTTTTACAATCTGTTACTACTTAAAGCATTCTAATGTTTAGTGCAACTATTGTTTGAAGGGTAAGTTTAAAGAGAAATATATGAATAAATTGGAAATGTTCTGCACTAAGTAGTCCAATAGCTACTGTATATATAACTGTTTCATTCTTGAGATTCGATTACAGTAACCTATGAACCAGTTTTTACATTTTTTCTAATTTAAATGTAAATAGTCATTTGTGACTAGTGACTACCATATGGATTGCACAGCACAGATCTAAATAGTATAAGTACATTAGCATGTGTAAATCAAGACTTGCATATGTGTGTGTATGTATGTGTGTGTATAAAGCTATAAACTGAATAAAAACATTATTGTTGGCTTGTAAGAATCCATAGTAGAATCTCATGCTGAAATGTTTGTAATATATAACTCTACTTGGTAAGAATAATATAGAAGTATTAAATGTAGCCAGATGTGATGGTACACTCTTGTAATCCCTGCATTCAGGAGATTGAAGCACTACAATTGTTGAGGTCTAGGTCAGCCAACTTAGAAGCATTAACATTTTTCTATGCTTTTGAAGAACTATTAAAAGAAAGTAAGGGCTGGGAATCTGGCTTAGTGGTAGAATGCTTGCCTACCATGCATAAGCTCTGGGTACCACATAAACAGAAAAAGCCAGAAGTGGCACTGTGACTCAAGTGGTAGAGTGCTAGCCTTGAGCAAAAAGCTCAGGGACAGTGCTTAGGCCCAGAGTTCAAGCCCTAGGACTGGCAAAAAAAAAAAAAAAAAGGAAGTGACTTCAGTTATATATTTGCTAGTCTCAAGTACTTCAATGTTGTAATGATTTAAAAAATTAATTTTCAAAGCTGGGCGCTGGTGGCTCACACCTGTAAACGTAGCTACTCAGGAGGCTGAGAGCTGAGGATCAAGGTTCAAAGCCAGCCAAGACAGGAAAGTGCATGAAACTTTTATCTCCAATTAACCACCAGAAAACCGGAAATGGCGCTGTGGCTCAAGTGGTAGGTAGAGCACTAGCCTTGAGCTGAAAAGCTGAGGGACAGTGCCCAGGCCCAGAGTCCAAGCCCCACGACCGACAGAAAATAAGTAATTTTCACTCATGAAAACTGATCTCTATAGCTCTTTCTCCTGTCTGCTTCTCTCAGCCCTTCACAAAGATTGTTTTGTTTAATCCACACAATAAGAGATAAACTTTTTTCCTTTGGAATAAACTTTATTGTATTTTATAGATTGGGATGTTGGAGATTATTAAAATAGTTGTTAAATCATAATCCCTTTCTTTGGAGAAGAATGAGGAAAAAGGGAGCTAGAAGAAAAATTATGATAAATGACACAGAGGAAGCATAGAAGACATGGAAAATGCTTTTAGTGGACTGGGAAGGTGGCTCAGTAGTAGAATGCTTGCCTTGCATACATGAGGCCTTGGGTTTGATTCCTCAGTACCACATAAGCAGAAAAAGCTGAAAGTGGCACTGTGGCGAAGTGGTTAGAGTGCTAGCCTTGAGCTGAAGAGCTGAGGGACAGCACCCAGACCCAGAGTTCAGGCCTCATGACTGACAAAAAAGAAAAAAAAAAGTTTTACTATAAATTATCCAAGATAGGAAAAAAAATACCTTTAGAGAAAGGGAAGGATTTTATTTTCTTTGAGATCATTAATCATGTTATTTAAAGTTCTTTAATATGCATTTTTTATTCTATATATCATTTTATTCTATCTGGTAAAATAGTGTTCAATTATTTACAGTTATGCCAAAAAGCAAGGACTCTGAATATTTACCAATAAACTTATTTGATTTTATCTCTGGTTGGGGAATACTTTTGTAGGCAGAAACTGAATTACAGAGAGCTACAATGGATGCTACCCGAACAACGCGTCATTTAGAGGAAACTATTGACAATTTTGAAAAGCAGAAAATAAAGGATATCAAGGTAAGTAAGTAACTGTTAAGGCTCAAGACATGTTTTCTAACCTCATTTTTTATTTAAATTTGTGAAAAATGTAACTTTCTGATTTAGCCCATAATTCTTATGAAAAAAGGTACAAGTGAAAAATATGTTATTTTCCTATGAACACAATAGTATGTAAAGAGGCTACAGTCCCAACTAGATGCCAGACTTTTATCAATACTATTACATTAAGTTTTTATCATCAGTAGTAGCCCTGTGGAAGTGATAGTTATTATGAAATTAAGCAGAGATGTAATTTACCCAGAGTACCACATCCAGAAATGTTCTATAAATCAGTATTTTTCATCTGTGCTGTTTATTATAATACATTGTCACTAATATGTTTTTAATATCTATCTTTTATCCAACCATAATTTGGAACCACCACAAAAATTAACTGCCTCAATTTTTAAAAAATATCTATAGCTTTGAGACTTTTTTGCAGCATCATAGAATTCAAAAGGCTTAAGTGAAATTTATTTTTAATCATCTTGAAAGGTCTGAAATATTGTGACCATCTTATAGAATTTTTACAATAAATACAGGTAGTATACAGATATCATTCTTGTATATTCATTTAGTTTCCCTCAAGTCTCTGCCAACAAGTGGTATAGAGGGTCATAAGATAGATCTATTTTTAGTTCTTTGAGGAAACTCCATATTGATTTCCATAGTGATTGTACTAGTTACATTCCTACCAGCAGTGTTAAGAGGGTTCCTTTTCCCTCCATTTCCCATATCCTCAGGGCATCTGTTGCTGTTTTCCTGATAATTGTCATTTTACTGGGGCAAAACAGAATCTTAGTGTAATTGTGATTTGCATTTCCTTTATGGCTAAGAATATTGAACATTTCTTCATGTATCCATGAGCCTTTTTATTTTCTAAGAAATGGCTGTTCAGTTTGTCCATTTATTAACTGGGTTATTATCAATGTCTTGAGCTCTGTATATTATTATTTTATATATTATAGCTATCCTTTGCCTATTGAACATTCAAAAACCAGTGGCTTTTCTATGTACCAACAATGAAGTGACTGAGAAAGGAATCAGGAAAACAATTCCTCTCACACTACCATGAAAAAGAGAAATACCTAAGCTTAAACAGTATTTTTGGTTTGGATTTTCATTGGGTAAACTGGCTGATTCATGAGCAAGAAACACAAATTTAATTTTAATTGCTTCATTTTTATTATAAATACAAGTTTTTCATAAAATTATAGAGAAAAATCCAGTACTCTCCTCACTCAAAAGTGTTACTTTTTTAGCTTATCTTCCAGACTTTTTCCTATGCACATACACAAAGCTGCAATAATAACAAACATATCTCATTGGACTCAAGCACTGTATGCACTCACCCTATTAGGAAAACACTACCATTATCTCATAGTTTTAAATAAACAGGACTCTGTTTCATTTCTTAAAAGTTTAATGACATGGAGCTGGGAGTCGGTGGCTCTTGCCTATAATCCTAGCTACTCAGGAGACTGAGATTTGAGGATCACAGTTCAAAGCCAGCCCAGGCAGGAGAGTCTTAACTCCAATAAACACCTCAAAAACCATAAAGACTCTTATCTCCAATAAATCTCTCAGAAAACCAGAAGTGGGGCTGTGGCTCAAGTGGTAGAGCACTAGCCTTGATCTGAAGAGCTGAGGGACAGCGCCCAAGCCCAGAGTTCAAGCCCCACGACCAAAAAAAAAAAAAAAAAAAATTAATGACATGGACATATTCCTGTTGAGAAATAAAAGAGCTATATCTTCCTTTTTTATATCTTCATAATATTTTACAATATATTTAACAAGTCTTGATTGGGTGAAATCTAAGGGTTTTTTTTTTTTGCAACCGTAGATGATTCTGTCATTAAACATGAATATTTGCCTTTGTGCTGATCCAGTGATTCTCTTGGAATAAGTAGGCATTCCTAGGTTCATAAATCAGAGACCAGATTGTAATACCTGCTTTAAAAACTTCTCTCTACAATGGACAAGCCAGTTTCTGCCTCTACTAGTCTTTTCATGAGTATATATGAAGCAATGATTAGTAATAGTAGCAGCCAGTCCACTGGGTAAAACAGTATCTCATTTCTCTTCACATTTCATTGTCAGTACTATTGAGGGTGAGTGTTGTTTCATATATCTAGTAATACATTTATTTCTTTGTCTAACTTCTACTTGGGTATTAGAATTTTTCTATTTATATTATTATTTCTTTATATTGAGACTATAACCCTTTTTATTAATAGATATTCAAATGCATTAATATATATTAATATATAATTTGTATATATTATATATAACTAAATACATGATATACTTATATTAACAGGCCTGTTGCACATTTTCATGTAATTTCTATAACAATTTATAATACTAATATATATAGTAATTATATTAACTATATTAACATAAAGTATGTTGTATAAATACTGTCTATGTTATTTTTTGCTCTCTTAAGGCTTTATTTTTGTTTCAAATATATTGATTGGTCTTTTTGGTTTTCTACCTTGGTGTTATGGCAGACAGGTTTTTTTCATACTCAAGAATATAAATTTGCTCATATTTTCTTTCAGTATGTTTTATGTTGTTTTAAAACATTGTGCTTTTAAAAGAAATACAGTAGTCAAGCAACAGTGGTTCATACCTATAATCAAGCTGCTTAGGAGGCTGGAATATGAGAAATGAGGTTTGAAGCTAGCTCATGCAGAAAAATCCAAGAGACTGTTTTCCCCAATTAACTAACAGTCAGTCAGAACTACAGGCATGGCCCAAGTGGTACAGCACCAAATGTTTTGAACAAAAAAGCTGGGCCAGGACCTGAGGGGGCACAAAAAAAAAGAAAACATTTCAATTTTTTGCTTACTAACCAAATGGAAGCTCTAATACTAGTTGACCAGAAATATTTTCTCTTCCCCCCCCCCCCCCCCCCCCCCAGTCATGGGGCTTGAACTCAGGGCTTGGGCACTGTACCTCAGTTCTTCAGCTCAAGGCGAGTGCTGTACCACTTGAGCCACAGAGCCACTTCTGGTTTTCTGGAGGTTAATTGGAGATAAGAGTCTCATGGATTTTCCTACTAGTGCCTTTGAACTATGATCCTCAGATTCATTACAGGCGTGAGCCACCAGCACCCAACAGAAATATTTTCTAAGTTAGCTTATTACTGCTTGTGCACTAAAACTAATTGTCACTAACAGCTTCCACACTCCTTGAGGGCACCTGATTCCTTTCCTCTAGGAACTGTCTTAGGAAGACTAAGACCTAAAAAAGTTCTAGCCCAGTCAGTCAACCTCTAAGGTATCTGAAAATCTATCTTAGCATAGTGCTGTTTATTATAATAGTTGCTAGTCCAGTATACTATATGCCTCTAACCTATACAGAATAACAGTATGGTCATCATCCATAGTTACATGTCTCTCAGAGCATAATATTCTTTCACATCAGTTGGAACTATTAAAGTTTCAGAACTTAATTCAAATACTTATAGGCTTGTGGTATCAGGGTATATAGTACCAAATAACAGTCATTTTATCACAAATGTTAATTAGCAGGTATTAAAAGAACTTGCTGGTGGCTCACACCTGTATTCCTAGCTACTCAGAAGGCTGAGATCTGAGGATCATGGTTCCTAGCCAGCCAGGGCAGAGAACTACCAGCGCAAGTGGCGCTGTGTTTCAAAGTGAACAAGAGTACTAGCTTTGAGCAAAAGAGCTCAGGAACAGCACCCAGGTCCTGACTTCAAGTCCCATGACTGACAAGAAAAAGAAAAGAAAATACTTGGTATAATTTTAAGGACTTGCTTTAAAAGATCTTTATAACTATTTTCAATTATCATGTCTTTTTTTTTTTGTCGGTTGTGTGGCTTGAACTCTGGACTTGGGCACTGTCCTTGCACTCTTCAGCTCAAGGCAAGCACTCTACCACTTGAGCCACAGAGCCACTTCTGGTTTTCTAGTGGTTTATTGAAGATAAGAGTCTCATGGACTTTACTGCTCAGGTTGGCTTTGAACCACAATCCTCAGATCTCAGCCTCCTGAGTAGCTAGGATTATGGCATGAGCCACTGGAGCCTAGCTAATTATCATTTGTCTTAGAGAAAAACATTTACTTTGGTTTTTCACAAAATGCCAAGACTATAGGGGGGAATATATTTACTAAATTCATCAAATGATTTAAATGATTTTTTAAACTCAAATCTTTGTTGTTTTTTTTTTAGAATATATTTTCAGAATTTATCACTATCGAAATGTTATTTCATGGCAAAGCTTTAGAGGTCTACACTGCTGCCTACCAAAATATACAAAAGATTGATGAGGATGAAGATTTAGAGGTAGGACCATATCTAAGCTCAGTCCTTCTGTTATTATGGAAAATATTTAAAAGAGAGCTTAGTTTGTATGGGTAAAAATAACCAGAACACTGCAATGCTTTAAATTATTGCGTGTGACCCAAATAGCTGGACCTTTTCTAATTTCTCATTTTTATTTTGTCAGTTTGATTTACTGTAACAAGCTTCCTACTAAGGTGAAGGTTTCTTAATTTTTACTCCTTTTCATATTTTTAAAAATAGATCGTCAAGCCTTTGTATGTCAGTTGTATAATAGCAAACACTTATATGATTTCCTCATTGCAACTATGTTATTTTAATCCACCTACTAATATTGATAAGCACTTAACTGTCCTTATTTGGGTGAGAAAATTGATGCACACTGAAATTAAAAACATCCCAGACCATCCAGAAGTCTTGACTATAATGATATTTTTAAAGCTCTCTACACAAGACTACAAGGAATATAGTTCTAGATGAGTAGTAAGAACTGTTTCTTCCAAGAAACACCACTGCATTGGGGGATAGGTTTAAAAATGATCCCCTACTTTTTCTGTGAGACTGGGATCACTTTTACAAGTACTTCCTTTCTCCCTTTTCTAACACCCTTGATGTGCCATACTAAAGTCCCTTCAAGCTCTTAGAATTATAATTGAGAAAGTAGTTCGTTTTGTCAAAGCAGGAATTTAAAATCTACCAAGGAGTTAGATATTTTATTGTAGTTTTAAAAAAAAATTTTAATGCAACCAGTTTATGTGGAGGGTCCCAAATAGTCTTGAAAATCAAAGAAGCTTAGTGGAGAATTTTTGAGGATGACAGCATAGATACACAAAGGTCCTGTAGCAGGCTGTCGTAAATGAAGAACAATGTGTTTAAATACTGAAAATGGTACAGGACAAGCATTTGTTGAGCAAAAAACCATAGGCCTGAACTGTTATTATATCATCCAGCAAGTGAAGTAGAGAAGTATAAAGGTGTGTGATCAAAGGAAGTAATATTGAAGAGGTCACAAGAATAGGAAGGATCTTATGAACACAATTTTCTTGGAAACAATAAGTGAAAACAGTCTGAGAGGGACAGAGAAATAACTTGCTTTCCTTTTAGGTAATCCATGTTTTATTAGAACCACTAAAATTTATTCCAGCAACAGCAAAGTTGGTGCAGTTAAAGCACTCTAGTTAAAATTATAAGCCACCTTACCTTATTTGTTCTTTACATAAAAAAGTATTTGTCTGCTCCTTTTTCCCCTTCAAAAGTCACTTCTGTGCAGTCATTTCAGAGATACCATGTCTTGACATTCAGTCCTAGAAGAGATCTTAGATTGTTTTGCAAATGTATTATTGCCAATAATTCTTCCTGTAATTTTAATTTTAGGAAATACTTAACTGATTTAGATTCTTATCCTAAGAGCTCCATATAACCTATTTTTAACTTATTTCATCTTTGCTAGCAAAGTTTAAAAAGGGATGTTCAAACAAAAATAGATCCTTTCCAAATAGTAGTTGCTTAATGAGTCATCCAGTTTTTATATCACATCTAGATGCCAGCATTTTAAGACACTGGCTTCAAAACAGAATTTGAGCCAGGAAGCAGTGGCTCATGCCTGTAATCCTAGCTACTCAGGAGACTGAGATCTGGAGGATCACCATTCATTGCCAGCCCAGGCAGAAAAGTCTGAGACTTCACCTCCAAAATCAGCACCAAAAATCTGGGCTGGAGGCATGGCTCAATTGGTATATCACCAGCCAAGCAAGCAAAGCAAAAGTACGAGGTCTTGAGTATAAACTCCAATACAGGCATACAAACATACACAAATAAATTGGTCCTCCCTCAATAACCTGCTCACATATCTAAATTGTCCTAGGTTACAAGTTTTATCTCCTACACTTTATCCTTTGATTCCTTTTGTGTTCTTCAGTTCTCTTAAGTTTAAAGGAATGTGTATGTATGTGGAGCCATCCTTTAGTCTGGGTCTCCCTTTTCCCCCCACAACATGGGAACTGAATTTATGATTATTGTCATTAATTTTGCAAAAGTACATTTAACACCATCTACTTTGAAGTTGCAAAGTGAAACAGGGTTCCTTGCACTAGAGGTACTCAAGACTAGTTGTTGGAGACTGGTAATTAGTGAATTAAAAACAATGATATGGTGATTCAAGCCTGCAATCACAGCTACTTGGATCAGGAGGATCGTAGTTCAGCCCATCTGAACTCCATCTCAAGCAATAAACTGGGTGTGGTGGCACCTTTGCATCTCAGCTATTCAGAAGCATGAACAGAACTAAGTTCAGGCCAGCCCAAGCCAAAACAAAAAATCCTATCTCAAAAATGATTTGGGGCCCAGCTCAAGTGGTAGAGGTTTGCCCAGCAGGCCTGAGAGGCCAGGTTCAAATATCCCAGCATTGTCCCAAAATATGTGATATATAACTATTCTTGAGGGCACAGTGGGAGCTACTGACTAGAGAACAAAGGAAAACAAAAGACATCATATGACTTGGCTCTTGAGTAAGTTTGCTGCTATCTATCCCAAGCTATGGAACTGGATTACAAAAACAATATAACAGAGGGTCTGTATGTAGGTTCTGCACATAGGCTAGAAGACTGATAAATAAGCTTGATATCCCTTAAAGCATTTGGACTCTTGATAGCCAAGAGCCACAAGTTTGTTTGATTTTTCAGTAGAGAATATATTTTGGCACTCAGTAAAGTAAGTCTAACTGTAAAGAAGCTACAATTTTTTAAATGTCCATAATCGGTCAATTCAAATAGAAGTATCTCAGGTAAAAAAAAATTTAGGGCCAGACACCAGTGGCTCACGCCTATAATCTTAGCTACTTAGGAGTCTTAAGATCTGAGGATTGCAGTTTGATACCAGCCAGGGCAACAAAGTCTGTGAGACTCTTGTCTCCAATTAACCACAAGAAAACCAGAAGTGGTGCTATGGCTCAGGTGGTAGAGTACTCATCTTGAGCTGAATTGTTGAGGGACAGCACCCAGGCCGAGACTTCAAGCCCCACACCGACAAAAATAAAATTAAATTAAAATTTTAAAAAATTAGGGATGCCTAAGGTTATAGTATGGCCTACTAGCTGGAATGTTTTTCGTTGTAGAATTGAATTTAGAGCTACACTGTCCAATATAAGAGCTACTAGGCTTATGTAGCTAAGGTTAAATTATTCAGTTCCTTATCCACATGAATTACATTTCAGATGCATACTAGACACATAAGGAATATCAATAAAGACAATAAGGAATATCAAACATTACTACCATTTTATAACTTTGCCGGATAGTGCTGGAGCATGAATACGGCTTCCTGAAGAATGTATAAAATATACATAGAACTAGCTTGTTAAGGGTCATTATTTTTAAATGACCTAAGGGGAAGCCTTAGAAATATTTAAAGTTAACAGTAAGATAGATATATTTAATGTATAGCACAATGCAAGAGTTTAGTGATGGCATGGAAGAATAAAGGTTTAGAATGGGGTTGGGGAAGATGAAGACAAAATGGATTTTGGCAAGAACAACTTTAGAGAAGGGTAAAATCCCAATTAGTTGAATGGAGATGAAATAGAATTGCTTGAGAAGTTTTTCAGTTACATCTAATAGAATTTTTTTAAAAAATGACCAAACTTATGCTTGTTTTCTAAAGGAAGGAACCTGTGGGGAAAAAGCGGGTTTCCACATTTGATGTTGAAGATGAAGGAAAAATGTACGCTGAAAAGGATTAGAATGGTGATGATTTTCAAAACAATAGGGTGAGAAGTTTTGAGGAAGAAGGAACTGAATATATACCTGTTACTCTTACCTATTAATCTGTTCAGAGAAATGGGAGAAGAGAAACAGGGAAGCTTAAGACAGTAAGATTTGAAAATATCACTTTCCGGAAACTGAACTGACAAATCATGGTAGTCTAGTCCTATGAGGTTGGAATTCATAAACTGTAGTGAGTGCAGTGTACTCTTAGGTACTTTTTCCTTAGCAGTAATGCAGTGGCATTACATTTGTAACTGACAGGCAAAACAAAAAAGAACCAAAAGTATGAACCACTGCTGCCATTCTAGCTTGTATACTTTAAGAGTCAAGACTTCTGTAATTCCCTGGCAAAAACACAAGTGTTTCTTCTATGGTTATTGTTTTCATCTTTTCATCATATAGAATCTTAGCCTTCACTTTTCTAACTTAAAACGATTTTTAGGGTGGGAATGTGGCTTAGTGGTAGAGTGCCTGCCTAGCATGCATAAAGCCCCGAGTTTGATTCCTCAGTACCACATAAACAGAAAAAGCCAGAAGTGGCACTGTGAAGCAAAAGTGGTAGAGTGCTAGCTTTGAGCAAAAGCAGCTCAGGGACAGTGCCCAGGCCCTGAGTACAAGCCCCAGGACTGGCGGGGGAGAGGGGGAATTTTAATTTTTTTTCCTCATAAAGTCCAAGCTTTATCCTTGGGGTGGTACTTAAATCTTAAGTGAAAGGAATTCATTTGCTTATTGTTCGTATCTGTAACATTGTTTTATCATTGCAATAGGTTTTCCGAAATTCTCTGTATCCACAAGATTATTCATCTCGTTTAGATATTGTAAGAGCAAACTCAAAGTCACCTCTTCAGAGATCACTGTCAGCTAAGTGTGTATCTGGAACAGGTCAGGTGAGCTAAACTGTTGGTTAAAGGATTTTGTGCTTCTGCTTTGAAATTGTTTAGTACTAAAGATGTTTACCTTTAGTCATATGACCTCATAATTTTCTGTAGAATGATGCACTTTATGTTATTTCACTATAATTACACACTGCTCTAAACAGAAAGAACATTTGAAACAGGTAAAAAACAGAGAAGGCTAATATAGATGTTATCTAACATGAACAGCATAAATTCTGAAGAAATTACACTAAAAATGGATTATGGACCCAGAAACACGGCTTTTTAGAACACAAACGTCCTCATTTTTTTCTGTGTCCAGAAGTTCTGAAATGGACCTGGACTTTTATTATAGTTCTTCATATAGCTCTTCCTATCTAGTCTTCAAATTTTGAAATAAATATTTTCAAAAGTTTTTAAAATAAACGACTCAAAGCCTATTTTTATTTATTAGCACTCATTTTCTTCTCTGTAATCAAAGTACCAACACCTCATGAATTCCATTTAGTATTACATGTGAAGTTTTGATTATTTAAACCTGAGTTGGCTAACAATTACAGAAATTTGGAATGCTTTTAAGAGTTTTCAACCTTAGCTCTATTGACTTGGCTTCAGGTGTGGGAGACTGTCTTGTACATTGTGAAGATATAGAGCAGTCTACCCACAAACACATTCACAATGGTGATGATTACCGTTGTCTTCAGACATTGACGACACTGACAAATGTCTTCTAGGAGATTATACTCACCCTTAGAGAGAGGGTCCTGAACAAGTGAAGAGTCAGGACATACAGCTGATGTATTCAGATCCTGATCTCATTCCATTTAAATCACCATACTTTTATTCCATTTAAATCACCATACTTTTTTCCATCACTATCCCACTGTCTATCTCACTGCTTGAAGTACCTTTGTTTTTGCCGTCTATTTTGTTTCTTCTTCAAGAACTGCTTTTGTACCCCAAGAATTGTTTGGCTTATTTGTACCTTCATAGTATTACTGTATATATTCAAAATGTTTGTAATGCCACATATATGATACATGAAGACCTTTTCAACTTTAAAATATAACCCAAAAATATATATATATATATATAGTTCATAGGAAATATTCACTATTAAAAACTATTACATTTGGACATTTTTTGAAATATTTCTTTGTGCCTTTTCCTATAAGTAAATGTGAAGTAAATGTGATGACTGTAAAACCTATTTTAATGTGCTTATTCTTAACAGATACCCACTTGTCGACTAAAAAAGGATCAACAAGCAGATGACGATGACAAAGATGATGAAGACTTAGATGTTACAGAAGATGAAAATTAAGTAAACTCTACATTTCCATTTTCATCTTGAAAATGACATGAAATCCAGTATTACTAAATTATAAAACCTTCAATTCACTCAACAGGTAAAACCTCAGAATGAAATCCTAAGAAATGAGAAAAATCAATTAAAGGAAATTTATGACTTAAAAAGTTTTTTAAAATATTATACACCTGAACATCCTAACCATCACTTTGTGATTTTTTTTGTATTGGCTCCAGTTTAAAGAAAAAAAGAAAGATTTCAAAATATGTCAAATTATTTCATTATACCTAAAGTTGCAAGTTATGTAACAAAAGATCTAACAACTATTAGCTTCTTTTAGGTTATGATTGATTCCATGTTTTCAACACCAGTTACTTAACAAATTGTTCTTCATCAACCTTTAAGAGCTTTTACTTTTATACTTTTGGTAAAACCTTATACTATTCCATCACTTGATATGTAAAATCAAACACAATTGGGCTTCATTTTAGCTTTCTAAAGTACATCCAACCTGATTTTAGTTTTTTACAACACAACTGCTGTTATGATAATGTAACTTGGTAAGCAAGTAGTTGGAAAATTTTTCATCCTGGAACATTAAAAACTTTAAAAAAAAATGGCCAGGACATTAAGATAACAGGTTATACTTTATTAAAAAAAAAAAAAAAAAAAGCCAGATCCTTGCAGTGTATCTGATTGCTTTTCTTTCTTTAGGTAAGGAATACTTTGGTATATAATGGATCCCAATTAGGCATATAAAATTAAACAAATTACTTGGGATCACTGGAAAAAAATATTCACAATGGTAAAATAAAGACTTTCTAGAAAGCTGACTTGTCATAGTTTTTTTTTTTTTTAAACAAAGTACTGCTCCTAAAAAACTGATTAAATTCAGTGTTCTTTAATGAAATATTCAAAAATAAAATTTCTAATTAGTATTTTTAGGAAGCTGAGGCTATGAATGGTTGGTTTAGGAGGTTTTCTTCTCAGTGTTTAAAGTCTGGTTACGTACTAAATAGTAACTTTCTGGACCATCAGTTGTCTCATCTGTAAAATTCAAACAGTACCTAATTCATAATCAACATATAATTTAGGAATAAAACATAAGTTCTTCCTACTCCAAAGCAATATTTCACAAACAAGAGAAATAGTATCAGTGAGAAAACTTTCACCAATGTAAAATTAAATCCCATTATAATTTAATCTAGACTTAAAACTTAATTCTAAGGACCAAGCAAGTATTTTACATTCTGTGGGTAGAAGCAAAATCAAGGACATTATATGGGTAGTTACTAAGCCATTTAAGATGGAACTACACTTAAAAATGTAAAAACCACAATTAGTAAAAACACAACAAACCCACTCAACAGCATGTAGGCCTTCACTTCTTATCTCCAAAATAGGAATACATTAGGATTCAGAATTATTTAATGCCAAGGAGAACAGGGTCACAGCTTAATTTTAGATCAGTGACATTAGAGCATTCCTACCATGATTCTTACCTATGTCTTGATTATAGGATTGTTTACTTTCTAGAAGTGATCTAATATTTTTGACACCTAGACAAAATGTCACTGGGTATGAAGTGGGAGAACCAATAATCTTCCAATGTATCTGTGGGTTGGAGAGGAAAAACAAACTCATTCTTATCACTGAAGTACATGATTGGTAAAGGTAATTAGTATATTAAAATATATAAGTATATATGAGTATATAAAGATAATTAGTACACTCTTCTCATGTGTTTGAGATTCTAGTGTACTAGTAAATTGGTTCTCTGGAGAGGGAAAGGAATGTCCTTATATGCTGCATATACTAATGGTCCACAGTATACTTGACCATGGTGTACTATGACCATTTTACCAAAAGAAGACACAAGTTAAAGGATATGTTCAAAATGGTTCCAAATCAGGTCAGTTCTCTATAATACATTTTATAATGAAGTTTAAAAATATTAAATCCTAAACTCACATCTATAATCTATATTTAGGTAGCTGGGATCTCAAGATCTGAGTTTGGTGCCAGACCCAGCAGACAAATCCCAGAGACTCGTTTCTCCATTTAACCAGCAAAAAAACAAAAATGGAGGTGACACACAATCAGCAGTGCAGTTCTTGAAAGTCAAGCTCAAGCAGAGTCCCCAGTAACAGTATAAAAACAGATAGACACCACCTAAATGTGCAGATGAATTATTCCTGTTTAAAAAGTCAAACGCAAAACCTATACTTAGTACAGCAAGCCTCTTAACAATGTAAAAAGCAAATCACATATTCAGTGATCCTGTACTTTAAACTTCATCTTACCTTTATCACTGTATCTAAAGTGTTTTTGAAAGTCTTCCATTCCTCCAGGGTTGAGCAGATGAACCATCTATGTAATCTTGAAACCAAATACCGTTTCTTCCTATTTTGTTCATTATACTTGGTTTTAAGTATTCTATTATAAATATAATAATTTAAATCATCTTTTTAAACTATAGTTTATAGAGATCCTTTAAACTATATTGGAGTTTTTTTCAGTCAGATTTACCAATTATTAATTCTACTAGTAATTAGGATATTCACTATAAAAACAATCATAGAAACTTCAATAAGTTTCTTAGATTTTTTTTTTAACCAATGAAAAGTTGCCAAGTGCCAGTGGCTCACACCTGTAATCCTAGCTAGTCAGGAGGCTGAGATCTGAGGATCATAGTTTGAAGCCAACATGGACAGGGAAAGCCATGAGACTCTTAGTCCAATTAATCACAAAAAGTCAAAGTGGAGCTGTAGACTCAAGTAGTAGAGCACTACCTTTTGAGCGCAAAAAGCTTAGGGACAGCACCTAGAGTTCAATCCTCAGGACTGGCCAAAAAAACCCTGAAGGTTAACCCAAGAGATACTTTAATGTACTAATTGACCAAGTACTGACCAATAAACTTAATCCTATAATCAAGTTATCCAGTTCATAACTACTTTTGTAATATTAAATAATGATGCTATCAATAAAAATCTTACTCTCACCGTGGAAAGCCTCTGAATAAGAGAACTGAGAAACATTAATGTTTTATGTAAACTATTAGAAAGCCAACCAAATCAAATCAAGTTAGATGCACATTTTTGAATTAGAAAGCAGTATGTAACGTGAGAACCCCAAGAGAAACCCTGGAAACAAAGTCACATTTTCTTCTACAAATGGTTGAGCACTCTAGTTTTATCTTTACTATTTTAAAGCAACAATAGAAGTAAGAAAATATCATTTAACCCTGAAAATACTTTTAGTATGACCTTAATTTAAAAAATTTCATAAAATCAGATAGCAAAAGATTTTAACTGCAATCAGTGGTCTGTTTATGTTGAAAATGGCTCTAGGACAGGGTAACTGGCTTCAAGTAGGTTGTTGAAACTTTCTGGCTTCATATTTGATTTGTGGGACAAGTAAATAATAGGCACTAAGATCATGCATATAGTCAGTGCCTAACACTTATTAGGTTACCCCAAAATGTCAGACATTTGTATTACCTGGATGAAAGAAAATCTAATCCAGTACCTGAAAATTGCCTACACTGAATGTTGAATATTAAAGTCAAAATTAAACTTCACAAGTCTTACAGAGACACAAAGTTTTGAAGCTAAAACGTGAGAACCTAATAAACATACAAGGTGTATGAGTCTTGAGTAAATTCTTCCCAGAAAAAAAAATACCTATTTTATCAAACTCTTCCAAATATAAACCGATCCCATTTTTGTCTACTTTTTGTTAATCTTATTTGGTTAATAAGATATTCCACCCCCTTCCTAAGGCTGAAGCCTAAAATTAAAATATTCAAGAAACCATAAAACTAATCAGTGTTGGATCTCTTTCATCATAAGTGGAGTTGAATGTGCGCGTTGAAAACTTTATACTACCCAACTTCAACTATTTTTCCCTTTTATACAAATACAAGTTAGTCTATTTCAGTTGCGATTTTATTTTTTAAAAAACTGCAAGGTTATGAACACAAACTTTTAAGAATCTCCTAAGCTTTTTACATAAGTAAATTTCAAGTTCACAGTCTGTTCATTTTGAATTATTTATAATAGGAGACCTTAGTATGGTAGAATCTCAGACAAGAGGTTATTAATTCTGCAGACAGATAATAAAATGCCAAACCTGAACAGTCACTCACTATTTCCTTGGCTACAGATTGACTACAGAATAAAAGTGAATATAAAATTTTTCCTCTTCTATTACAACTCTATACAACTGTATCCATAACATTGGGAGGGGGGAAGACATACCCTTGGGAAACCTCATTAATTAGAGAAAATAAGGCATATGGAATTATAAGTTAGGGGAAAAAAGCAGCAATGTGCAAGTAAAACAAAACCAGATTCACATTCTATTTACATTTTTTATATTCACAGGTCAGAATTAAAATGTTTCACTAGATATTTTTAAAACACTATTTCAAATCTTCATTTTTACTGCATCAATACTGTGGGAAGGAAACAATTTAGAAATGCACTCTAAAGCAAAAGCAGCTTAACTTTGCGGGGCCCCACTGGCCTATCATTTAGATCTTTAATAGCAGCCATAGCTTCATTATAGTTTATCAAAGCAACAATGGCTTCTCCTGTAGGCAATCCTTGCTCATTATACTGTATTGAAATTGAATCAGGTATGATTCTATAACCATGGAAAAAGTCTAAGATTTCATTAACATTAGCTTTAAATGGAAGATTCACTATTTTAACAGGAGTTATTCTACCAGAACCACAATTTAATTTGGGGTCAGGCATAAATCTCCCTTCAGGATAACCTCCCATATTACGCTTTCCAAAATCAAGTTTGCCACCTTCTGGGCGACCAAAATTCACTAAAGGACGATGGCTTCTAAAATCCGCAGATGCACTCCTAAAATCCTCTCCAGGAGGTCTAAAATTGTCAGGAAGTCTGGGATCCTCCTCTGGAACGTCCCTGAGGTCCTCCGCAGGAAGCTGCCTGAAGTCTTCGTCAGAAGGGCATCTCAGATCATCTTCCGGGGGGCTCCTGAAGTCTTCATCAGGAGGGGGCCTAAAGTCCTCATTAGGAGGGCCTCTGAAGTCTTCATCTGGCATATGCCTGAAATCTTCCTCTTGGGAACGCCTGAAATGTTCCTGGGGTGGCCGCCTAAAGTGTTCCGGGGGTGGCCTCCTGAAGTGCTCCTGGGGCGGTCTCCTGAAGTGCTCCGGCGGCAGCCGCTTGAAGTGTTCTGGGGGTGGCCTCCTAAAATGCTCCTGAGGTGGTCGTCTGAAGTGTTCCGGGGGTGACCGCCTGAAGTCCTCCTCAGAGGAATGTCTGAAATCTTCCTCAAAGGGTCTCCTGAAGTCCTCCTCCCTATGGCACCTCAAGTCGTCCTCCTCCCAAGGACGCCTGAAACCCTCCTCTAGGGGTCGCCTTAAGTCCTCTTCAGGGGGCTGTCTGAAATCCTCCTCTGGTGGCCCCCTCCAGTCCTCCTCAAAAGGCCGTCTCCAGTTTTCCTCCCGTCTCCAGTTTTCCTCCCGTCTCCAGTTTTCCTCTTGTGGGTGCCTAAAGTCCTCTTGTGGGTGCCTAAAGTCCTCTTGTAGGCGCCGGAAGTTTTCTGCAGGAGGCCGCCGGAAGTATTCCTCCCGAGTGTGTCTATTATCCTCTGGGGAGAGCCTGAAGTCCTCTGGAGAGTGCCTGAAGTTTTCCGGAGGGTGCCTATTGGGCTGTCGGAAATGTCCCTGGGGATGCTTGAGGTTACCTGGATGCCTTAACTCCTCTACCTGGTATCTCCGGTCTTCAGAAGGGTCATATGAGTATACTGGTGAGTCTTTTGAGCCAAATAAATGGCACCGGTCATCTCTATCACGCGACTGGGAACAGGCTTGCATTTTGCCACTGGACATGAAAGAACAATTTATACCAAACTCCTGCATTTGTGCCTCCGTTATAAGTCTTAGTAATACCTCTGTCCCTAAGAATCTTCGGCGATTTAAACGTTCAGCTTTCATAGCCTGTTCTTCTGATTTAAATTTCACCAACGCTTCTCCCAGACCAACTCCTTTGTCATCATAAAGCAAGTAAATGTCATCCTCAGCAAGGGCAAAGCCTGCAAAAAACTTTTGCACCTCAACTTTTGTAACATCAAATGGAAAATTTCTTATATATATACAGAGTTTCTGGCCAGTGTAGTCCTCTTCTAAGTATTTTTGTGAAGCATGTCCAGTTCTCTCTTTCTCAATTGATCCTCGTCTCTTCTTTTCATAATATTCAATGAACTTCAGCATTTGTTTTCTAGAAACTGGGTCAATAAGAACTGGACGATACTGTAAAACAGTTTTATGTAAACTTAATGCTGTATTATAGTCTTTCTCAGTCTTAAACATCACAAAGGCATATCGTGACCTTCTTTCATCCTTATATAAAAACCTAATTTGTTCATCGGTCAGATCAGTCTCTCTAAAGAAATTTCTCAAATCTCTTTCATCAATACTTAGGGACAAATTTTTTAAGTGAACATAAAATCCAACAGGGGAGCGAGAGCGTGTTCTTCTGGGAGATTTAGAATGAGACCGTTTTCGGAAATGTCTATTATTAATTCCTCTGAGAGGATGTTCTTCAGATCGTACAGGAACACCTTCCTTAATTTCCTTACCACCAAACTCAATCCACTGTTGTTCTGAACCCTGCATTACTTCTATAAATCTTGAACCCATAAAACTTCTATGGCATTTAAGGCCTCCTGATGCATCAATACATGAAGCAAATTTTACTATGGCATCACCATTATTTCGGCCATCATGATGTTTTAAGAAAATGACTCCATCCACACACAGACCAGAGAAAAAGACACGTACGTCATCTTCATTAACTAAGTAAGGCAAACCTCGTAGAAACAAATAAGGATTCTCAGCCTTTGATGGCCTTGTCTTTCTTGGCCTTAAATCATCAAATCCTGTACCATTAGTATGAAATCCAGCATCTTGATTAACTGAAGAGCCATATCTAGAATTACTTTCATCTTTCTTCATTGCCTCAATAAAATTAGACCGTTTTCCAACCCCTGATGACCCAGATCCTCGTCGCCCTCTTCCTATACGATTAGTTCTTTTCATTTCTATAGTCTTCTGCATTTCTGCTTTGCTACTAAGAAAAAGCTCTACAGATGAATCTTTGATAAACCCTCCTGAACGACTTACAGCACGTCTTGCATCTTCATCTGTTGCAAATATAATAAAAGCCTCCCCAATTTCCCCTCCAATTATATGCACTCCTCCATCAGGAATAGTCAATCCCTTGAAGAAGTGACGAATATCCACAGGCCCCGCAATAAAAGGAAGCCCCAGTAAACGGATGACTACAGCCATGCTGAGCTCAAACCACAGCAATAATGACCTGCAGACAAAAAGGTACACATAATAGCAAGTCTTATTTCTTAAAGTACCTTAGCCCAAACTAAGCTTAGTAATTACTTGGTACCTGCCTCCTTCAGCATAGATCAATGAAAACAAGATACACATTCACAAAATATTGTTCTTATCTAATTTTTAGGCAAACAATTCACTTTCTCCTGTCTAAACACACAAATAAGCCAACTTGAAGTATTTCATATCACCTATCCTTTACAATAGGAACTTCACAACTTTCACATCTCCTTTGTAAATCTGCAAAATGCTACTTCACAAGACCAAACTACTTTCAGACTCTCAAACACATCTCCTAATGCAAAGTGAGAGCAATTAAGTTATTTTACCAACCACAATGAATTTTACATATTTAGAGAAGTCATCTGTGGTCAATATATAATTTCTGCCCATTATATTAAATTGCCTACCACTAGTATCACTGGCAAGACATAAACAACAGAAGCCATGAGTACTCTGACATATTAAATCTATTTGATTTTTGTCAAGTCTCTGTGAAAAGCCTTAAACTCTGATGTCTTACCTTTTCTTTTTATTTCTTGGAGACCTGTTAATTCTGTAAAAGCAACTTAACTGTGGAAAGAAAATGAAATATAATTAATCTTTGAACCCTGTAATTGGTCTCATGCCAGGGTAGGATATCCATTTCAGAATAACCTACCAAAAGTGAAAACAATTAGAATTATGGGTATAACAAAATCATTTTGTTTCAAGGGGAAATTAATTAGCCTCTGCAAAAAGTAAATATAAAACCCAAGTAGATATCTTCAAATAATGAACAATAAAAATGTGCTGAAAATTGTACTACATGAGTAGAAGGAGCAATGGTAGTAAGAAGCGTGTATTAACTACCAAGCTCATTTAGTTATATCTTAAGGTCAATGCATTTTAACGTTTTATATCCACTTAAAAAAAAAAAACTTCTACAAGTAAAATATCAGTATAAACACAAAATTAAATCCTTCCCTATCACTCCCCAGTGAAAATTCAAATATCTAGTTCATATTTATGTTCATCTCTCTTGCCATTCTCCTCCCTTACAAAAGACCAACTCAAATTAATAAAGCATCCATTTAACATGATAAAATAGCAAAGCTTGAAATTCAAAAATCAGCTTTTAAATAAATCCAAATCAATGGCTTTCCAAATTTTATGATTCCAAAGTAACCAAGATAAATACTAAAAGTCAAAAAAATCTCAGCACCACTCTTTACCTGATATGCTTAAAGCAATACCATTAAAACTAATCTAAAACAAAACATAAAATGTTGTAACTATGGAATCTAATTATGCCAATAACCTTAAGGCACTTCAACCATCCTGTACAACACTGAGGAACCTAAATAACAATGTAGAGAAGCAGAAACATACTAAAAATACAATTAACTTGAAATACAAAGATTACCAGTATGAACTCCTAAATAACTTAAGGAAACTTGTACCTAACACTTTCATGTATATGTGAACTAACAAGACTTAATGAAGTCTCACCAAATGAGACGTGTAAATTAATAATTATAATTAACATGTCTTTAATGATCAAACACCGCTTTAGTCTATCCCTTACACCTAAGTACCACTATCACACAAAGGTCTGAAAGGCTATCCTTTAAGAAGGATCTATAAACTTTTTGAGCTACAAACTGATCTAGTAAAGATATTCAATTACTTGGTACATGCTACCTCCAAAATCAGTGTGGTTTGCTATTAAAATATCTGCACAGTACTAGAAAAGAAAATGAAGTAATAAGCCTGGTTTCAAAAAAGTGTTCACATTAATATGTCAACGAAAGCTATAAAATGGCTTCTTGAAAACTTGTCCACGTGAAAATTCCAATATTCCTATTTAGTCTCTTTTAACTTTAAAAATATTTTGGGAAGCAACATAATGCATGTCATTTTGTCTTCCCTAATTAAAATAAATAAATCCACCTACAAGTAAACATTTTTTCAACAATTGTCAAATTGTTGAAACACACATCCTAACTTAAATTTTATCTAATCATCTTAACTAAGACAATTTGTTTTATTAGCACAAACCTCATGAATTCCAATTCAAGACTAGTTTGTTTTAATTTGCCAGTTAAATATAACTAATGCTTACACATCTTTGACTTTCAATAGTAATGTACTAATGTTATCATTTATCCTCCTACAGCAACATCTGGACCACTTCTAATACCAGCTCTCAAAAAATGAGTTTCTCTTGCAGTGCCAACATGCTACAGTCCTTAAGCAAAATCGCCAGAAACTCTATTAACACATTAGACTGCACAAAAATCCCCTACACACACACACAAATTACCCTACCTGTAGTTTTTTTTCTAGTTATGAATGCAAAAATGTTTGTGACTTTAATGCTGTGATTTAGAAGCACAAGCTCACGTAAGTGTAAGAACATTTTAAGTAACTGCTGGCTTTTACACAGTGACTCATCCTAATCAATCACCAGTGTGGCTAAACAATATGAAATGTGCATCTTCTAATCAAGACTGAGAGGAACCCAGGAGACTGAATTTCACAGGCATTATGTCAGATCCACTTGACTAGTGACTAGCAAGTACAAGTCATTTTCCAGACGTGATGAGGGAGAGTAAAAACTTTTCACTCTTCTTCTGCGAGACTACTTAAACCCAGTCAGTCAACGTGAAGCACATTCAAATTCTAAACGAGAAGTCTCCCTGCAGAGAAAATCATCATCATCATCATCATCATCATCTACCCCCAGGCCACATTCATTCTTTCCGATCACCTGCCTTTTGATACGTGGATGGTTAACATTAAAAACCAAAGGCGTCGTGACCACGGCCGGCCACCGATCCCGGGAAAACTGTGCGGGGAGACGAGTCCACAGGGGTACAGGAGTTCCCGTTAACTTCCATCATCGTCCCAAGGCACCGATTTCTCGGCCTTCTGTCAGCACTCCGGGGGGGTCAGAGCTTCTTTTGGTCTCCTTCTTCTGCCCTTCTTCTTCGCCAGGCCAAGTTGCTACGACGGGATCGGCTGCGGTCGCCGGACCTTCGGCCACAATCCAGCCTTCCAGTTAACCAGGACCGCCCAACCTCCGCGCCGGTCCGCGCCGGCCGCCCCGGGGCGCACGGCTGCACCCTCACGCGCCACGGGCCCCGGTGGGCCCCGCATCTAGCCGGAACGCCCTTTGACCCCCTGACCCCCGCCGCCCACTTCGAGCCGGAGGAGTCGGGCCTGCCGACCTTCTCCGGCCACCACCAGCTACCATGACAGAGCAAAGGAAAAGGAAATACCTAGGCGAGCCTTCCAGATCTTCACTGTCACGCTCCCCGGGAAGCGCGCGCGCACACCACCTCCGGGAAGCTGACGGGAGAGGGAGAGTCGGGGTACAGCGAGGGGGGGGCGCCCCGACGCCGCCCGGCCCGCGGCCCCGCCCTCCTGCACGTCCGCCGCGGCCCCGCCGGCCGCTCCCCCGCTCCCCCCGTCCCCGGCGCCCGGGGAGGCTGCGGAGCCCTCGGCCGTGAGCAACACACACCGCTGCGGCCCAGTTCGTCACCCCGGGCCGGGGCTGACGCGCTCCTCGTCGCAGCTGCCTCCACGGAACAGGAAAAGCCCTCAGCCAGCCGGCGGCGAGGAAGATGGCGCCCACTCTCCCCTCGCGCTCGGACAAACGGACGTACAGTTTGTCTGCCCATGCGCGCTCTCCCGGCGTAACCCGCTTCCTCCTCAGCGTGTCTGGCGGCGCACGCGCAAGCGCGCACGCCGGGCGCGACGCTTTCCCCGTTGTCAAGGGAAAGGGAGGCGGCGCCTCGGAAGGTGGGGGGGGGGGGATGGAGGGGTGGAGACAGGGGGACTACTGCGCATGCTCAGTTCCCAGCCATCCCGCGAGCCAGATCAATTGGGAGACTATAAAGTTAGCTGGTGCGGGGGGGGGGGGGGGGGGGGGGGGGGGGGGGGGGGGGAGGTGGCTCACATTTGTAATCCTAGCTACTCCGGAGGCGGAGATCTCAGAATCACGGGTCAGAAGCCAACCCGATTAAGAAAACTCCTTGAGAATCTTAGCTGCAAGTAACCAGCAAAAAGCCGGACGTGTGGGTGTGGCTCCGGTGGTAGAGCACCAGCCTTTTTTCCTGTTCTTTTTTTTTTTTAATTTTGAATAATATTTTTACAATATCGATGAACAAAATAGCAGTTTTACATCTTTGGGATGCATAGTAATAGCAACTTGTCATTTATATGGCATCTCCCTGAAGCACACTGTTTCTAAAATGATTTGGTTCCATTTTCCTGACAGATTCACCATAATCATCCCCATGCCTACACAAGAAATCTGAAGATGAGAGAGGATGAGTAAAAGACAGCACTGTTCATCATGCCAAGAGCACCAGCACTGAGTGTAAACCCGGTGTTTGGATACGGGCAAAAAAATGAAAGAGTCGTCAACTGGTAGGTGTCAAGAAAATCTGAGGTAAGTACACAAATCGTAATACACAGAACAAACATTAGATTCTTTCAGCAGCTAAGGGAAAAGATGTAAAAGAAAAAAAAAAAAAGTGGGCGATTTGGCTTTCTGTGCTGCTGTTACCACAGGTTTGAAAGCATTTTCTGAAAGGTTCTTGAAAATTCCAAAAGGCCATTTACTACCTTATGTTTACCTTGAACAAAGCCAACATCGAAGAGCCTAATACATACATTTTTAAACAATCCTTATAGACATGAATAAGCTTGTGATATATCTTTTTTAAATTTGTTATTCCAACAGATGGATGTACCAATCCAGAAAATTGAGAAATGGAAAGTACAATTACAGGCGTGTTTTGTGAGGCTTGCTCTGCAGTAGATTGTGATCAACTTTGTGCTTGGCTTTATTATTCTCAAATAATGAAGCAGCCCATCACACTTTGTAACTGCATTTATGGCAAATTAAAAGCTCACTAAGAAAACAAATTACATTTTAAAGATACTGATGTAAATGAATTTTGAATCCCTGTCTCAAAATACCTATTCTCAAGTGATAGGTTGTGAGAATAAGAATAGTTAAATAAGTAGTTAATAAGTAATTAAATAAGTAGTTAATGAGTAGTTAAATAAGAATAAAAAATAATTCCTATATACTCTTAGGAGAGGAACGCAAAGGCACAATGACTATGTGTCTCTGATCACATAAAATAATACTTGTCCAAGTGAACTGCAGGGAATGGAAACAAGAGGTTTATCATTGTTGTTGTTTTTGTTTTTCTTTTTGTCTTGTTTGTTCATCTTTGGGAGCATAAAGGGGAGCATAGAAATGGAGTTGTTAATGTATAATACCCCACAAGTGAGAAAATCCACCACAGAAGCACTTTAAAGGTGACAAACGAGTTTTATTAGTTGGTCTACAACCTGTCCTGGGTTACACCTCAGTACTAGGAGTAACTGCAACCTCTAAGGTGGGTTTTTTTTTTCTTTTCCTTCCTTCCTGCTCTCCACAGTCTCCAGCGGCCCCTCCAACTCTCCTCTGGCCTTTCAGCCTGCCAGCCTGTCAGCTCTAATTTCCCAGTTCTTCTGATCTAAATTAGAACAGTTAGCACTATATGTTTAATTGTTTCTGGGTCTGGTTCTCTATTTTACTGTGAACCCCTAGGAAAAGCACCCTTCCTTTTGACAAATATCCATCTCCTAGAAGTGTGTAGTTCCTAGAAGTGTTTCAAAACCAATATAACTCCCCACAAAGCGTAGGTTCATTTTGAGTTCTCATGTAGGCTATTTCCTAGGGATAATGTGTGTCTTATTAAGTTTAGCAATTCAACACATAATATAGTCTTTGTGATAGCCAGATTTCTGGTACCAACCTCTTCACAAAGCACTAGACTTCCACAACTATTTCTCAGCTATACTTCCCTATTTTAGTAGACAAACTAAATTCGTCTTTTCACCCAAATTTCCCTCCCTTGAGACTGGGAAGGTGGCTCAGTGGTAGAGCGCATGCCTTGCATGCCAGAGGCCCTGGGTTCGATTCCTCAGCACCACATAAGCAAAAAGAAAAAAGCCGGAAGTGGCGCTGTGGCTCAAGTGGTAGAGCGCTAGCCTTGAGCTGAAGAGCTGAGGGACAGCGCCCAGGCCCAGAGTTCAGGCCCCATGACCGGACCCAAAAAAACAAAAGAACAAACCAAATTTCCCTCCCTTATCTTTTAGCTGCCCCCACCCTCACCATGATTTAGTCTTGAGGAAAGACCTAAACTAATTGTAATTTTTGCATCTCTAAATGATTTCCCTTCTAATTACCCACTGTGTCTTTTCAAATTATTACTTACTGTTACATATTCTTTATTTAGAATACCAATCCTTCTTGTCTTATCTGCTCTCTACACAAGGATTTATTCACAGCTTTACTCATCTCATTTCTTTTCTTTCACACTTAAAAAAAATGATATTCCCTTTGAGGCATCTTCTAATGATTCTTTGATGTAAGACCTTGGCTCCTTCCTGATCAAGAGAAAAATATACTTTTCTCCATTTTTTTTTCTTTTGAATCTCTGTTTTTTATTGATCAGTTTCTTTTGACTTACATATTGCCTTATCCCTAAAAACATTTTCTTGCTTAGTTGTTTCTTTTGCCTTTATCACAATATATAGTTTTAGAATTTTAAAATCTGGTGCTTATTTTGTATCAACACAGCTCTGCGGTTTTCTTCTATCCCAACCATTACCATGGAACTGCACTTTAACAGGTAACTAATGATCTCCAGTTACCCAAATCAAAGACTTTTCTCCATTTTAGCTTCTTGACCTTACTGCAGCATTTATATTATGAAGAGGCACACCATTATATTTAAGCAGCTCCTACAATTGAGCTAACAATTCAATTTTTTCTGCAAATTGCAAACTGAGTCTTAAGATTTTAACGCCAAATTTTGCCTTCATTTAATCATCATTGCTGAGTAGATTTATTTTTATATTGTAAGGCATGGACCAGTGTCAATTTCCTACTAGGTATTCACTGTCTTTGAACCTGTTCTCTCACTGTCTTTGGTCTGCTTCTTTCTAAATTGTCATTAAATTATAATCTACTAATATCTTCTGCATTTGTTAATGAATCTTAATTGGGTAACTTTGGGCATGTTTCTAAACCTGATAAATGAAAATAGTTGTAGTTCTTGATACAACTTGTAGGGTTGTTAGACGATTAAAATGACACATGGAAGGAGTTTAGCCCAAGACATATTACTGAGAAAGGATTTGTTTTCCTGATTAGAGAAAGGATTTGTTTTCCTGGTTCAATTTCTGTCTTTCTTCCTGTCTTAAACTTGAATGTTGCTATCTGGTAAATGGCAGTCATACTGCAGTTTTAAGGGGGAAAGCCAGAAAACTGCAGAGATAATTATCTGACATCACTGTACAAACACCTTCAAATTGTATTTATTTTTGCTTAAGCTATGGTGAAAGAGCTGACATTGCCTGGTTCTGTTACTTGCAACGAAAATACCCCTGATGATACAGTTTCAAAATTATGCCTTTACTAACATTCTTTTCTGCTGTCATCACAGTTTATATAAATCAATCCATAGTATCTCCCGTTATCTCCAACTTAACTGTGGTTGTATATTTCAAGTCCTTGACCACAGACAAACTCTCACTAGGTGCAATAGCCACTGGTCTTAGACAATTACATGTGTGTGGTCTATAATGGCTGTATCACTTTGTGTAATGTGTCCATTTTTATTTACATTCCATAGAGTAGCTTCTTAATACAGTGGAAAGATGACAAATTTTAGGCCTGACCAAATAAAAGTCTAGTTTCAACATCTCCTGAAACTTAACTTTTTGATAGCCCGTTTTTCCCAATTAGGAATAGTCTTTCCATAAAACGTTGTTCTAAAGAATTAAGATTAATGTTGTTAAGTGCCTAGCAAAGTGCAGAATATGGTACAAATAGAAAATAAGGGTACATAGGAGCTGATTTTATTGCTTTAATTACACAGTAGGCAATAAGAAAATATTATTGCTCTAAAACCTTCCCATGGAGTATATAACATTATATACTTTATCAAAGAAAACTAGATTTAAAACTCACCCATATAAAGCTTTTACTGCTTTTACAGATTAGTCCCTATTTGGACCCTATTTCTTTTTTGTCTTCATTAATACTTATGTAGTCACAGTCTTTTATATAGAAAGATTAAATGCTGGGCTGGGAAAGTGGCTTAATGGTATTGTGCTTGCCTAGCAAACATGAAGCTTACCTAGCATACATGAAGCTCTGGGTTCAATTCCTCAGTTCCACATGAACAGAACAAAAGCTAGAAGTGACGCTGTGGCTCAAGTGGTAGAGTACTAGCCTTGAGCAAATATAATAGAAGCTCAGAGACAGTGCTCATGCCCTGAGTTCAAGCCTCAGGACTGGCAAAAAAACAACAGAAAGATGTCCTTTTCTCTCTAAATTTTTCACTGCAACAAACACAGCAATTACTCAAAAAAATTTTTATTTTTATTTTTTTGTCAGTTGTGGGGCTTGAACTCTGGGTTTGGGCGCTGTCCCTGTACTCTTCAGCTCAAGGTGATGCTCTACTGTTTGAGCCACAGTACCACTTCTGGTTTTCTAGTGGTTTATTGGAGATATGAGTCCCATGCACTTTCCTGCCCAGGCTGGTTTTGAACCACGATCCTCAGATCTCAGCCTCCTGAGTAGTTAGGATTACAGGCATGAGCCACTGGTGCCCGGCTAAACATATTTGTATTTTTAGACTTTCTCTTTGAGGAACAGATTTCAGACTATACACCTCTGTGTCATAGATAATGATTGCTGTGTGCTGTTTTTTTGAGGAAGGCCTAATGGTAAATAAGTTATCTAACTTCTCTAGATGCACTTTCCACATCCATTAAACACACACAGATTATAAAAGGACAAATTATTATTATTATTATTGCAAAATTTGTACTTTCTTGGGAAAGCAAAATCAAGTTAATATTTCTAAATGATGTAGCTTCAAATGTTCCAGGTTATTTTATTGGGGGAGAAAGTGAGAGTTAAAATACAACAATAATCTGAATGAATACAACAAAATATAAATGAGATTTAAATATTAATTTTTTTACCAAAATATTTGAAAGCTAGTCTCCAAGGTTGTCTCCTTGAAATACAACATCGTGGCACATGTAGATTTACTTTAAAAAAACAATTAGGCTGATTTCTTTTTCTTTTTCTTTTGTCGGTCCTGGGGCTTGAACTCTGAGCCTGGGGGCTGTCCCTCAGCTCTTCAGCTCAAGGCTAGAGCTCTACCACTTGAGCCACAGCACCACTTCCAGCTTTTTCTGCTTATGTGGTGCTGAGGAATCGAACCCAGGGCCTCATGCATGCAAGGCAAGCACTCTACCACTGAGCCACCTTCTCAGCCCAGGATTATTTCATTTTAAGCACATGATTTTCTAGGTTCAAAACAATGAAAGTAGAAAAACAAAAGTCTCAAAGGAAAGTTGTTGTTTTTTCCCAGTTATTAAGCTATGGTAATATTACAATATTGCATATTTAAATCAGTGAGATATTTTGTGGTGCCAGGGATCAAACCCAGTACCTGGGTCATCGTAGGCAATCACCCTTCTACTGAGCTGTACCCTAAGCCCTCGAAATTGTAACTGTGCTATTTGGGAGGCTGAGCTCTGAGGATCACGGTTCAAAGCCAGCCTGGCCAGAAAGATCCTTGAGACTTTTTTTTTCAGTCCTGGGGCTTGAACCCAAGACACCTGGGTGCTGTTTTTGAGCTCCTTTTGCTCAAGACTACCATTCTACCAGTTGAGCCACAGTGCTACTTCCTGCTTTTTCTGTTTATGTGTTACTGAGGAATCAAACCCAAGGCTTCATGCATGCTACGCAAGCACTCTACCACTAAGCCATATTTCCTTGAATTATGACCTCTAAAGAGGGAGACAATCCTTCAAGGCACAGTTAAAGGTGACAAAAAATTATTTACGCTATTTACACCAGAAAGGGGCCTGCAACTACCTTGTCCTGAGCTAGATACCCAGAACTAAGAGCAGCCTCTACCACAAAACCTCCATGCTTCCAGTGGGCAGCCCCGACCTTTATTAGTTGGTCTACAAACCTCCAAAGGGGAAGGCTTTTCCTTTTCTTTCCTTCCTCCTCTGCACACCTCTCCACTCTCCACAGGCCTGTCCTGTTCTCTCCAGTTGGTGCCTTTCCACAGACCTCTCTAGAGGAAGATCCTAAGTGACCTCTTGAGGAGGTCCCAAAAGGCTTCTCCAGGAAGCCCCGAATGACCTTTTGAGGAGGCTTACCCTGCCTCCACAGACCTGCCCTGCTCTGCTGTGGCAGGCTTTCCCCTCCAGCTCTCTCTTCACTCTAACAGGACTCACAGTTTCATGTGCCTAAAGGTTTCCAACCACCATTCATACCCCTCCCCCAAGCTGCCCCTGCGGGGTTTGACACCCCACCCTCTCCAGCAGTACATTCATCCCCCCCCCTATCAGCGGCATGCCCCGCCTCTCCGGTGGCACACCCCGGGGGTAGCAATGTCAGTCTCTGGAGACCCAGCCCCCTCCAGTCTGCAGAGCAGTGAGGCTGGCTTCTTGATGCCCCGCCCCTTCCAGGGGCCATGGGTCCACCCATAGATGAGGGGGCAAAGCTGATTCCCCGGGTTATTACACTTGAGACTCTTATCTCCAATTAACCACCAGAAAACTGGAAGTGGAGCAGTGGCTCAAAGTGATAGAGGGCTAGCCTTGAGCAAAAAGAGCTTAGGGACAGTGTCCAGGCCCTGAGTTCAAATCCCATGATAAACAACAACAAAAAAAAATGTTGTCAGTAATTCCCTTTTCTTAGTGCCAGTCCTTCACCTCTCAAGGGTGAGGGATAGTTTTCAGGGTAGTATCTAGACAGCCCAGATAGCGAAGATAAAAGAAATAGAAAGGGAGATGAAAGAGCAACAGCAGGTGACAGGAGAGAGTAGAAGAGAATGAGAACTAGCATTTGTAAACATTATAGGTCTTTATTTTGCTTTTTAAACCCAACATTTGTCAACATACATTTATTTCCCATGAAAACTGCATAGTGTGGATACATTCTGACATAAATATTATTTAATTGTTTCATAAAACTACTTTTATTTGGTGCCTGGAGTGGGGCTTGAACTCTGCCCCCCTTAACTGTTGCTCAATGCTAGGTGTTCTATCACTTGACCCATACCTTCATTCCTACTTTTGGCGTGTGTGTGTGTGTGTGTGTGTGTGTGTGTGTGTGTGTGTGTGTGTGTGTGTGTGTGTGTGTGTGTGTGTGTGTTTAATCGGAGATGAGAGTTTCCAGGACTTACCTTGCTAGAGCTCTCTTGGAACAGCTAGCCTCAGTGAATAGCAGGGATTAAATATGGTTGAGCCACCAGCGAGTCTGGATGACAGTTCTTAGATTTGGTTTAGTTGTTCTAATCAGATATTCCTTTGCTGTGCTATTGTTTCCGGAGTCTCAGCCATGCAAGGCATTCCTTAAGGATTAAATAGGTGCCTGCCTGGGTCTCTGGGAGGCAGCACCTTCCCGCGCGTCCTGTAGCCTAGCAACCAACCAGTCAGCCGGGATTCCCGGAACCTGAATGATCCAATCAGCTTGGCGGAGTCGCCGCAGCGCCTGCCGGGAACCTGGAGACTGCGCAGTTGCGGGTGTGGGTACCATGGAGACGCGCGCTGGGGCTGAGGTAGCCATGGCGGTTTGGTCCGTCTTATCCGCCAGGGCTGTGACTGCGTTCCTCCTCATGGTCCTCGGTCGCGTCTCACTGACCCAGGCCTTCTCCTTTCCTTTCCGGAAGCCGGAGTCCTGCGGCCACGACCAGTATTTCGATATCTCTGCGCTCTCCTGTGTGCCGTGTGGAGCCCACCAGAGGCCAGATGCCCGGGGTGAGATGATTCTGGGCTGGACCTGACCAAAGTAACATCCCGCCTTGTACTAGTGACAGGAAAGATGAGAGAGGAAATGGGAAGTAGCATCGATAAACGTTGATATCCCTTCATTTTGCTTTGTAGATCTCCAAAATTTAGAACCCCTTACGTATGACTGGTCCAGTCTCTTTACTGAACATTTAACGAAACTGAAGCCCAGGGACGCTGGGACATGGTCGGTGTCACCCAAAATGGAAACTGGGAGAATTCACCAGGCCACCCTCACAGTCTCAGCCCATGCATTTCCTGTATATAGTTTTCCTAGTAAGATTGTGTTCACTTTTATTGTGCAACGTTTCTGATTGCTCTTAAAATCTTTATAAATCGGGCTTATTTTTCCTCCTAAAACGTATACTATTTGTTCTCAGTTCTCACTAAAACTTCCCAGGATACATCTTTTCCCATAAGTGAAAGTCTTAAAATGTTTTCAGTCTTAAATTAGCCATCCATGGAATTAACATTTTCAGATTTAATATATCCTTTTGAAGTCATTGCGTGGTGCACATTATGCTGTCCGGGTTAGGAAATATGGATGAGAAAACATTTCAATCTATAACATGTAAGGCCTGAACATTAATTGGTTTCATATTTATGAATGGAGATAACTGTATGTGTTGTGCTACATAGACTCCCATGGGTAATGTTTCCACTTAAACAGCCCCTTAGAGAATGCTGCCATGCTATCCTTGTCTATCTAGCTGAATAATTATCTTTTTTTTTTTTTTTTTTGGTCGGCCGTGGGGCTTGAACTCTGGGCCTGGGCGCTGTCCCTCAGCTCTTCAGCCCAAGGCCAGCGCTCTACCACTTGAGCTAGCGCGCCACTTCCGGTTTTCTAGTGGTTTATTGGAGGTAGGAGTCTCATGGTCTCTCCTGCCCGGGCTGGCTTTGAACCGCGATTCTCAGATATCAGCCTCCGGAGTAGCTAGGATTACAGGCGTGAGCCACCAGCGCCCGGCCTGAACAATTATTTTTTTTTTTTTTTGTCGGTCGTGGGTCTTGAACTCTGGGCTTGGACACTGTCCCTCAGCTCTTCAGCTCAAGGAGAACACTCTACCACTTGAGCCACAGCGCCATTTCTGGTGTTCTGATGGTTTATTGGAGATAAGAGTCTCACGGACTTTCCTGCCCCGGCTGGCTTTGAACCGTGATCCTCAGATCTCAGCCTCCTGAGTAGCTAGGATTACAGGATGAGCCACCTATGCCTGGCTGAATAATTATCTTCTAATGTGTACTGACTACCTTTTGAAACAGAGGCTAATTTATTTGAGAGAAGTCAAATTTCCTAATAAGACTGAATTAAAATGAATTAAATGTTTATGGTTTAATGACATAAATGTATATTTTTCTTTTTTTCAATAGAGGTTAAATAGCTTTTAATAATTTAGTTTTGCTTTAACTTAAATAGTAGCAATGTGATACCCACTATTGCCAGATATATCTCTAAGAATTTTACATATAATATAGAATTCATTGTGATAGGTACTGTTCTTTTCTTCAGATACAGAGAAAGAAACTCAGAAACTTGCTCAATGTGATGCAGCTAAGTAGGAGAACTAAGACTGGAACTCAAGAAGTCTAATTTTTAGAATTTTGAAACCAGACAATATTGGCTCCAGAGTTTTTCTTTTTCTTTTTCTTCTGCCAGTCCTGGGTCTTGAACTCACAGCCTGGGCACTGTCCCGGAGCTTCTTTTTGCACAAAGCTAGCATTCTACCACTTGAGCCACAGCACCACTTTTGGCTTTTTCTATTTATGTGGTACTGAGAAATCAAACCCAGGAAGCACTCTACCACTAAGCCACCTTCCCAGCCCTCCAGAATTTTTCTGTTAACCAATATGTACAATTTCTCAAGATTTTAAGAATTATTAAAAGTTCTGCTAGGCAGTTGGTAGCTCACACCTGTGATCCTAGTTACTCAGGATGTTGATGTCTGAGGATCTCCTTTAAAAGCCAGCCAGGCAAGAAATTTTCTGATTCTTTTATCTCCAATTAACCACTAACAAGCCAAAAGTGGAGCTATGACTCCAAATGGTAAAGCACTAACCTTGAACAAAAAGAAAGGCTCAGAGTCAGCACCCAGGCCCCAAGTTCAAGCCCCAGGACTGGCACATACAAAGAAAGTTCTCTCTGTTGGAGTTTCTTTTTATTTCTCAAGTACAAAATTGACTGTTTGATGCATCAGTGGCTCACACTGTAATCCTAGCTACTCAGGAGGCTGAGAAATGAGGATCAAGGTTCGAAGCCAGCTCAGGCAGGAAAGTCTGTGAGTCTCTTATCTCCAGTTAACCACCAGACAACCAGAAGTGGCTCTGTGGCTCAAGTAGTAGAGCACTAGCTTGGTGATGAAGAGCTCAGGGAAAGCACCTAGGCCCAGAGTTCAAGCCCCACGCCTTATAAAATAATAAAAAATAAAATAAAAACTTGACTCTTTTCATTTTAGGAACTTCATGTGTTTGCCTACCAGGATTTCAGATGATCTCTAATCTTGGAGGATCTGCCATTACTTGTAAAAAGTGCCCGGAAAACATGGTATGAAAGAATTTAAAGTTACTTTTTTGGGAGATGTAATAAGTGTCTTTAACTTCAATATAGCATTTACTTCATTTCCCACAAACTTTAAAATGATTAAGCCAACTTTATACTTACTAGAATATATTTTGAAAAGTAAACTTAGAAAAAAGTTACAGAAATATATCTCATTAATGTTTAGTCTGCTGTAAACAAAACAAGGCCTAAAATTTTGTACTTTTAATTTTTCCTCATAAAGTAACTCAGTTATAAGGAAAGTAGACAAGTATCACATATGTGGAACAACTAAGGATATTCATTGGTATACATTAAGTCAGTGTTATAGACTTACTGTGTCAACAGTTTTATTTGAGGATTGATGTTCATAATGGTATCTAAAGTAATAAGTTTGTGTAATGCCAACTGTATCAAGAAATAGTTAAATTATGTCTTGCTGTTTTCTTGCATGTCATTATATAATTTGGGGGAAAATAGTAAATAGTGCTTATTATATAGGATAATTCTAAGCTAAAATACATTTTCTGATCATTTTTAGAAATGCTCTGAGTGATACTTCCGATTTTTGTAGTAATGTTTCTTCTCATTGTCATACTAAAATAAATCTGAAAACTTAATGGAAAGTTACCAGTTGGGCCAATTTAAAGGTCTTCATTATGGCTATATCTGGTTGTCATTTTGATATTTTTGGAAATAATAGTCTGAGCTGAGAACTTGACAAAAAGCTACCAATAAAAAGAAAATGATCCTAGCCAGGCACCAGTGGTTTATGCCTGTAATCCTAACTACTTAGAAAGCTGAGATCTGAGGATCCTGATTGGAAGCCAACCCAGGCAGTAAAGTTCATGTCTATTTCTTTTTTCAATAAAAATTTAAGATAATTTATGGCATTATTTTGTGTTTACCATTGTATTAGTTTCATATTTGTAACTTATGTAATAATATTCTAGGTTTTTCCTATACCATCTAGTATAAGAGGTTCAATTTTGAATGATGTCAGACTTTACCACAAACCTTTATTAGTGTACAATTTATTTACGGCTAAAAGGAAAGAGTCCCATCTTTTTGTATAATTTATAGGTCATAAAGTTCACTCATTCTGAATCATAACTTAAAATTTTAAAACTAATATTCTTGAATCTTTACTCTTTTTTTTGGCAATCTTGGGGCTTGAACTCAGGGCCTGGATGCTGTCCTTGAGCTCTTCAGCTCAAGGTGAGAGCTCTACCACTTGAGCCACAGCACCACTTCTAGTTTTCTGGTCTCACAGACTCTCCTGCTGGTCTGGCTTTGAACCATGATCCTCAGATCTCAGCCTTCTGAGTAGTTAGGATTACAGGTGCGGCTCCCGGCCTTAAAATTTTAAATATAGAGTATTTCAGAACAGGTAAGACAAAGCTATCAACCAACTCTGTTGGTCAGATCTTGTTGAATTTTATTATCGTTTATATTTGTGAATGAAAAATTGAATGAAAAAAAAATTTTAAATTAACATGATCTAGTAAGAAAAAAGTTGCCAGGCATCAATGGCTCATACCTACTCCTAGCCTCTCAGGAAGCTTAATTCAAATCCAACCTGGGCAGGAAATTCTATGAGGCTCTTATCTCCAGTTAGCCACTATAAAAGCTGGAAGGAGAGTTGTGTCTCAAGTGGTAGAACTCTAGCCTTCAAGCTCAAGGACAGTGCACAAGCCATGAATTCAAACCCCAGGACTGCCACACAAAAAAAGAAAAAGAAAAAGAGAAATGTCAGGTGCAGTGGCTCATACCTGTAATCTTTTTTTTTCTTTCAAGTTTTTTATTGTGATTAAGTGATTACATAATTTCCCAAATTTCACAGTATTGTGGGATAATGATGCTTAGTTAAAGTCACAAACACATTCTAATTTTCATGGGGCAAATTGTCTATCGTGGTCTATAACATTTATGAGTTCTATGAGCTTTGCAATACAGTTATTTCTTCCACATTGGATGATAAGTACATTTCTTTTGTTTTACATAGCATCAGCTATTCCCTGTTCACCACTTGTTCCCTTCCTCCCATCGCTGCCATTGAGTTGTTTAGTTCATTTTGATCAATGTCCAGACCAGCTGATGGGTCTCACTGTTGTATGTTTTTCCCTGATTCCCTCTAGTTCTGTGTCATCCTCCTGGTTTCCCTCTGGTGTGCACATATATACCATATATGTGATCAGCAGCATGGAGTTATTAGTAGTGATTGGACCAGATGAGTGGAAGTCCTTTGTTTCTTAAATCTTGTTAATTTTGTCATATCACCTTACGTTTTGGATTTAACATCCACTTATCAGGGAGACCATGTGCCATTTGTCCCTTTGCTCTTGGCTTGCCTCACTCAACATGATTTCTTCTAGCTCTATCCATTTCCCTGCAAATGCCATTATTTTGTCCTTTCTAATGGCTGCATATTATTCCATTGTATATAACAATTTTTGGATCCATTCATCTGTGGTGGGACATCTGGGTTGTTTCCATATCTTGGCTATTGTGAAGAGTGCTGCAATAAACACAGAGGTGCTTGTGTCCTTGTATACTAGTTCCTGTTGTTTAGCATAGATGCCTAGATGTGGTATGACTGGGTCATAAGGGAGGTCAATATTTAGCTTTCTGAGGACCCTCCAGACTGCTTTCCAAAGTGGTTGTATAAGTGTACATTCCCACCAGCAGTGTAATATGGTTCCTCTTTCTCCGCATCCCCTCCAGCATTTGTTGTTGGCTGACTTGAGGATGTGGGACATTCTGACTGGGGTAAGGTGTTATCTCAGGGTTGTCTTTATTGGCATTTCCTTCACAACCAGGAATGGTGAACATTTCCTCATGTGTTTCTTTGCCATTTTTATCTCTTCTGAGAAGTCTCTCTTTAGTGTCCTTGCCCATTTAGTAATTGGTTTGTTGGATTTGGTAGGGATTAGTTTCTTGAGTTCCTGAATATACTGGATATTAACCCCTTGTCTGATATATGGCTGGTAAATATTTTTTTCCCAGTTAATTGATTGTCTTTCTAGCTTGGTTGCTATAGCTTTAGCTGTGCAGAAACTTTTTATTTTAAGGTAGTCCCATTTGTCAAGTCTCTCTCTAATTTGTTGTGACCCTGGGACTCTGTTCAGGAAGTTCCTGCCTGTGCCTATAAGTTCAAGTGTGTCTCCTACTCTGTCCTGCAGTAGTTTCAGAGATTCAGGTTTAATGTTAAGGTCGTTAATCCATTTTGAGTTGATGTTGGTGCATGGTGATAGGCTGGGGTCCACTTTTAGTTTTCTGCATGTTCATACCTGTAATCTTAACTACTCAGCTGAGATGTAAGGGTGCTGATTCAAAGCCATCCTGGGCAGACAAATCCAACGGTTTTTATCTCCAGTTAACCAGTAAAAAGTGGAAGTGGGCTGGGCATAAGTGGCTCACACCTGTAATCCTAGCTACTCAGGAGGCTGAGATCTGAGGATCACAGTTCAAAACTAGCTGGGGCAGGAAAGTCTGTGAAACTCTTTTTTTTTTTTTTCTGGGGACAGGGGGTCTGGTCGTGGGGCTTGAACTCTGGGCCTGGACGCTGTCCCTCAGCTCTTCAGCTCAAAGCTAGTGCTCTACCACTTGAGCCACATTGCCACTTCTGGCTTTTTCTGCTTATGTGGTACTGAGGAATTGAACCTAGGGCCTCAAGCATGCAAGGCAAGCACTCTACCACCAAGCCACCTTCTCTCCCTCTGTGAAACTCTTATCTCCAATAAAAAACTACCAGAAAACTAGAAGTGGCGCTGTGACTCAAGTGGTAGAGGGCTCATCTTCAGCTGAAGAGCTCTGGGACAGCACCCAGACCTAGAGTTCAAGCCTAAGGACCGGAAAAAAAAAAAAAAAAAGTGAAAGCGGAGGAGTGGCTCCAGTAATAAAGTGCTAGTTTTGATCAGAAAAGCTAAGCAAGAGTAAAAGGCTCGAAAAAATTAAGAAGTTTTTGTTTTGTTTTTAATTTAGAAAGGTGTTACTGAAGATGGCTGGAACTGTATTTCTTGCCCTAGTGACTTAACTGCAGAAGGAAAATGCCAGTGTCCCCCTGGACAAATTTTAGGTAAGATTACTTTTTTTTTTTTTAAATAAAATGGTGGTGGTGATTTTTTACTTGAGTTTGTTTTATAATGAACGTTAAATAGTTTGGTGATTTATAATATTATTTAATTTTTTTTACCCATGCCTATATGAAGCTTGGACTCAGGGACTCTCAGCTTTTTCCCCTCATTGCTGACAGAAATTAGATTTTAAATTAACAGGTCTTTAAATTTTTTTGTAAAGGAAGTCATTCATATATTACTGAACAATTGGAAATTGGTATAACCTTTTGGGAGAACAAATTGACAACATTTACCAAATTTTAAAATTCAGGCCATCTTTGTTTAATCATTGCTCATCTAGAAATTTCTCATTCAGATATTTAATGGTATGTCTGAAGAAGGGTATGCATACATAGATTTTGAGGCTGCATTATTCCTAAAAAGATTATAAACAGTGTAACAATCTACCAAGAGGAGATAACTATGGTATATGTATACAGTGGCAGAGAATACAGCCACAGAAAATAATGAGAAAGCTTTCCACATCTTGCTGTAGAAAGAAATCCAAGTTATGTTGAACAGAAAAGGAAGAGGCATTATTTATTCCTTTATCCACCAATATTTATTGAGTACTTGTAATTATGTATATGTGTATGTGCTTATATTTGCATAACCTATTTCTGGATTCATAAGAAACTGGTAACAATCTTGCCTGTAGAGTGAAGAACTGAGTGTAGAAGGGTAAGAGTGGAAAAAATCTTGAAATAGGTTCTGACCATATTAGCCCAGGGTGACCTCAAACCTTGAATTCTCAATCCTCCTGCCACAGCCTCCTGTCTGCTAAGAATACAGGCATACCAGTTATGTCTATATCATTCTTTTACATCTTTTCCACAGTATTTTATTTTATTTTATTTTATTTATTTATTACTTATTTATTGTCAGTTGTGGGGCCTGAACTCTGGGCCTGGATGCTATCCCTCAGCTCTTCAGCTCAAGGCTAGTGCTCTACCACTTGAGCCACATTGCCACTTCTGGCTTTTTCTGCTTATGTGGTACTGAGGAATTGAACCTAGGGCCTCATGCATGCAAGGCAAGCGCTCTACCACTGAGCCACCTTCCAGCCCTTCCACAGTATTTTATAGCATAGAGATACGCTGTTAGATATTCTGTTAGGTATTGATTGTTTTCTAACAAATAATGCCTCAATGAATATCTTTATACACATGTACAAGTATGTCTGTAGGTTATATGTCTGAAAAGAAAATTGTAATGCTGCATAGAATATTTGAATTTAAGATTTCAATAGGCATTATCAGAAGCCCCTCAAGTTATAGCAGTCCCTACAAATACTGTTTCCCCATCCCATCATGACAGTAGGAAATTTTTGAAGAAAAATGTTAATTGATTTGTTATTATGACTTGAAAAATTAGTTTTTTTATTTCTTCATATGGGAATGGGGACTACTTTCCCTTTCTATACTTTTATTATAGTGATTGCTTGACATGCCTATTATGTAAACAATGTGCTTTGATAATTATTTTAATAATTATAGGTGAGTTTATTTAATATTTCTGAGTATATAGAAGTTTATCTGTTTATTATGAGTTATATCTTAATTTTACTTTTCAATTGTTTTAGTGGAAAGAAATGTCAATGGAACATTGTTATCCCAAGCAACTTGTGAGCTTTGTGACAAAAATGAAAATTCTTTCACAGAAGCAAACACTTTAGGAAACAGGTTAGTAATACACTAGGAGCTGACTTTATTAGTGTCACCTTACATTTTTGTAATTTATTGTAAATATATATTAATATCGATTGATATTTGTTATCATCTTACATTTTTTGCATTTTGGAAAAGTATTTTCCTGTCATATCACTTGTTACTCATGATCCAAAGGAGGGTAGAGGTAAATATTAACATATGTAGAAGCTGAGGCCCAGAACAGAAGGGAGGTTAAGGTTCAAATCTTGGTGAAGTTTATAGTTGTTTGACATTAGTAGCTCAGTAAGTCCCAGTCCTTTGTGGAAATGTACCACCCACTTTGTGAAGAATAATGACTAAAAAATAAATGGGTAGCCAGGCACTGGTGGCTCATGCCTGTAATCCTAACTACAAAGGAAGCTGAGATCTGAGGATCATGGTTCAAAGCCAGCCCAAGCAGGAAACTCCATGAGCCTCTTATCACCAATAAATTACTCAGAAAAGCCAGAAGTGATGCTGTGGCTCAAGTGGTAGAGTGCTCACCTTGAGCAAAAGAAGCTCAGGCACAATGGCCAGAGTTCAAGCCTTAGGATCCCCCCCACCAAAAACAAAAAAAAAAAGCCAGTAAGTTCTTAGCACAGTGTAACATTAGTCACTTAGCAAAAGTTATTTTTGTTTGTTATTATTTAGTTTTTATATAGCCTGAAGTATAATTATGCCCCAAATATGGTACGGAACCTTTCCTTTATATATAATAATGTTACATAGAAATAGTAATATATAACATTGTAACACTATTTTATATAGTATCAACAGATTGACCTGAGTTGCAGCATCCAAAACTGCCTACTAAACCCGAGGTTTTCCCCTTGTAATACTTCCCAAGCCTAATATATTTAAGAGTAGGTTTCAAGAGGGAATAATACTCATCTTTTTAGCTTATGATACCTTTTTACTTTGTGGCAGATAAAATAAGAAAAGTATATTTGAAGCTGGGTGCCAATAGCTCATGCCTGTAATCCTAACTACTCAGGAGGCCAAGATCTGAGGATTGTGGTTCAAAACCAGCCCCGGCAGGAATGTCCATGAGACTCTTATCTCCAATTAACCACCAGAAAACCTGAAGTGGTACTGTGACTCAAGTGGTAGAGTGCTAGCCTTGAGCTGAAGAGCTGAGGGCCAGCACCCAGGCCCAGAGTTCACGCCCCATGACCGACAACAACAAAAAAAGTATATTTGATATGACTACCTGTAAAAATTGATTTAATTTATATGAGATTATTAGGCTCTTTTGTAACTTGATTGACTTTACAATGGGTACCCTTCAGTATTATTCATTCTATATATATTCCCATGAATATAGTTGGGAAAATAATCCTACTATTGTTTAATTTTATTGTTTTATACAACACAAAAATGATATAAAAGTAAATCAGTGTTGCTATTTTGTTTAAGTAACAGTATAGTGAGTTAATCTGTTTTATTGGCATTTAGGAAGACTAGTAGTTCTCAAATTATGTATGTTATAATTTACTAACTTAAAAAAAATTTGTAGTATTGAGGACTGAACTCAGGGCCTCATACTTGCTAGGCACATGCTCTACCACTTGAACTATGCCCACATTCAAAATTATTTTTTTAATGTCAAACAGGTGTGTCCGATGTGGTCCAACATTCATCAATACCAGCAAGTCCTGTGCATGTTTAGGACCAAACATTCTAGTAAGGATAATCACATTGATAAAGTATATATTCTCATTTCAGTTACTTCTACCTTCCATAAATAGGTTTATCTTTTTTTTCCTTCCATATAAAGACAGGGGGATTGTGTTTCAGCACTGCAGGGAATTTTCATCAGCGTATAATTTCAACAGTACGTCAAGGAAAGCTTGTAAGTATGCTTTACTATTTTGTTAAGTCATGAAGACATTTTCTGCATTACTTTGGTTAATTTCAGGCTGAAATGCAAAGTATTTCTGTGTATGTCACTTTGAAACAGAATTAACCTAAGAAATATTAGTCCTCCAGCTCAGCCTTATAATTTATAAGTATAGTGCTAGCTTGTCTATGCTCCTTGCTTTTCCAGTGAATTTCACTGTTTAAACTGAAAATGTCCAATGTAGGTCCTATAAAAATTGTAATATAGGGCTGGGAAGGTGGCTCAGTGGTAGAGTGCTTGCCTAGCATGCATGAGGCCCTGGGTTTGATTCCTCAGTACCACATACACAGACAAAGCTGGAGGTGGTGCTGTGGCTCAAGTGGTAGAGTGCTAGCCTTGAGCAAAAAAAGTTCAGGGACAGTGTTCAGGCTCTGAGTTCAAGCCCAGGACTGACCAAAACAAAACAATATATTATAGATTAGAGCTCCACAGACTCTAGATTTTAACCCTAGATTTACCAATGATTAATTTTGTGTCCTTGGACTTTGGACTACTTACCATTTCTAAACTTGAGTTTATTATCTGTAAATCAGATACTATACTTGCTTACACTGCAGTGCCTATAAGTGGCACCTAGAAGAAATTGTGACTCTTTTTATCCATTCATCCAGATTCCTTGTTTTATAGATGAGAGCACTGAGAACTGACTGAGCTTTTTCAGCAAACAGTGATGGTAACAAGGCTTAGGTGAAAAAAGGAAAAGTGGTTGAATTAGGTTGTTGCTTTTCTTCTTTCCTTTTCTCTCTCGCTTCCTCCCTCTCTCTTTTCTTTTCCTTCCTTCCTTCCTTCTCTCCCTCCTTCCTTCCTTCCTGCCTTCCTTCCTTCCTCAATTCAGTCACTTCTACCTTCCCATAAATAAGTTTATCTTTTTTTCCCTTCCATATAAAGACAGGGGGAGTTTGTTTCAGCACTGCAGGGAATTTTCATCAACGTATGATTTTAACAGTACGTCTTTCTCTTTCCTTCCTCCCTCCCTCCCTCCCTCCCTCCCTCCCTCCCTCCCTTCTTTTTTGTGGTGCTGGTGATCAAACCCAGGACCTTGTGCATGCTAGGCAAGCATTCTACCACTGAACTATATCTTAGCTCTGGGGTGTAAATGTATTGGAACTGAGGAGCTCACAAATCCTAGGCAGATCTTGGGATAGTCAGCAGGGTAGTAGTATCATCAGTAAGGAAGTAGGAGTGATTGGGAAGAGTGTGAGGCTACTGAGATGGTAGAATCTGGATCTTGATAAATTAAAAAAAGTCTCTTTCTTCAATGTAGTCTGGTGGGGTGACAAACAAGTACCAAGTAGTTCCAGAAAGACAAAATACATACTAAAACAAGAGCTTACATAGAAAGCTCTGAGATCATCTGAAAATTTACTCCTCTATAATAAAATGCTTGTCTTCTGGGCATTCTTCCCCAGTCTTAGTGTGTGATTATCAAACTTGACTGCCACTAATTTGCTTTCTTTTTCTTTTTCAAGTAATTCAAGTTGAATCACTTTGCTTTTCCTACATGGTCTGAGATGCCCAATCATTTAGAATCTTTTCTAGTGTGGTATAGATCCTTAGTCTTAGATTTTTCCCAAGTATTTCTAAATTCCTGGCTTAGAATATAAATAAAATGATTGGGCAGCTTTAACCCTCTCATTGTATGTGGCTCCATTTTGCATACATTTACAAGTCCTTCTGCCATTGCTTTTCCATTTTTATCATTGTTTAGATGAGTATCTTCAAACTTTCTTCTATGCATTTATTAATCTCATAAGATGGAAATATTTACCTGAGAGATGAAAATAGTGCTTCCAATTTTTATTTTACATTTCTTTGATATGGTACCAAGTTACATATAATTTGATTGTGTATCTGTTCATGTCTAATTACTGTAATGTGTTTCTTAGTGTGTTTCATTTTTTTGTTTTTGTTTTTTGCTTTTTTTTCCTAGAAAGATGTATAGATTAAAGCAGTTATTCTTAGCCAGAGAATCTACAGCCCTATGTGTGTATGTATGTGTTACTAGGGTTTGAACTCAAAGCCTTGGTTTTGCTAAGCAAGTACTCTACTACTTGAGCCATTCTTTTTTGTTGTAATTTATTTTTCAGATAAGGTCTCACAGTTTTTGTCTATGGCAGCCTCAGACAATTGCTTTTTACCTTAGACCTCTACCTCCCACATAGGGTTTACGGGTCTGTAAGTCTTTGTTTTATCCTGGAGAATCTGTTTGATTTCAGTTTGGAATGAAAGATGTTCCAACAGTGATTCTGATATCCTCTATTGCTTGAGAAGCACCTTTTGGAAGATTTTAAATGTTAATTACTCTGTAAAATATTCTATTTCTTAGAAATCATTCCTTAGAAATCATTTTTCTCAGATGTTATGTATCATCTTGAAAAGTATTTACAGGGGCTGGGAAGGTGGCTCTGTGGTAGAGTGGCTTGCCTTGTATGCACAAGGCCCTAGGTTCGATTCCTCAGCACCACATAAGCAGAAAAAGACAGGAGTGGCGCTGTGGCTCAAGCAGTAGAGAACTAGCCTTGAGCTGAAGAGCTGAGGGACAGCACCCAGGCCCAGAGTTCAGGCCCCATGACCTGCAAAAAAAAGTTAATTAAAAAAAAGAAAAGTATTTATAATAACTGTAGACAGCAAATGTTAACCACTCAGAATGTTCACTCAATGTAACCAAATGTTAACCCAGTCAAAATTTGTTCTTTTCTTTCCTTTTTTTTTTTTTTGCCATTTTTAGTTTTTCCATAAGTGAAATAGCATATGTGGTTGTTTTGAATTACAGCCATATTTTTTTTCTTTTCATTTCATATGCAGTCCAGTCTGTAATAAATCATATTAATTAGACTTAATTCTTAAGATTCCATTAGATTCTATTTTTCTACTGGCATTAAGAAAGATTCATTAGTCATTTTTCATTTAGCAATATACATATTAATGTAATCTAAGCTGTAGAGTTGAGTCTTCCTTTGAACTTTAAACTTTATTTTTTCTTCACAGGGTATATCTTTAAATTCAGAATGGTTTGCAAAATATTTGCAATCAACCGCATCTGCATGTTCGGTAAGTCTGAATTTTTAAAAACACTCTTATTTTCTTTGAAGAATTGTGGTGCCATTTTCTACCCAGATAAAAATTCTCTCAGTTTTCTTTTATTGTACTGGAGATTGAAGCCAGGTCTTGGAGGGTTTTTTTTCTTTTCTTTTTCTTTTTTTTTTTTTTTTTTGTGGGCATGAGTCTTAAACTCTGGGCCTGGGCGCTGTCCTTCAGCTCTTCAGCTCAAGGCTAGAGCTCTACCACTTGAGCCACTTCTGGCATTTTTCTGTTTATGTGGTGCTGACGAATTGAACCCAGGCCTCATGCATCTGAGGCAAGCACTTCACCACTGAGCCACCTTCCCAGCCCCTGGGAAATCTCCAGACCTGGAGATTTTTAAGCATGTGCTTTACCACTTGAGCATCACTCTTAGCCTAAAAGTTTTCTCTCTTAAGTATATTATATTCTACATAGATAGGATATTTTATAGGAAAAATAAAGCCTTTCTGGTGGGCTAACAGAGAGTATGTAAAGAAACAATTATTCATATTATACAAATAGACACCTCTAGGCTTATCTGGCAGCAGTTGACAGTTTGAGGAAAGTCACTTAGTAAACATTTGCCAATTAGTAAACATTTATTGATTCCTAATGTATAGCAGGCCTTATTCTCCATCAGCTTAGATACTCCAGGAAAAAAAAAAAAAAACAGAAAAATGAATTCCACATAGAGTTAATAGTCTTAAGTGTCAGATTGCACTAAGATCTTGGAAGACAATTAATCAGGGTAATGAACATAAAAAAAAGAGTATAGGCATGCTGTTTTTAGGTAGGGGTGGTCAGGACAGGCATGTATTATGAGCAAAGACCTAAAAGTGAAATGAACCATGGAAATGTGTAGGGGAAGAATGGTCTTAGCAGACACCACAGCAGGACCAAAGGTGACAGAGCAAGAGTTCAGTCTGCTTCAGCAGACTGAATAGGGCAAGTGGAAAGTGATGAGTACAGAAGTGTAGCAAGTGGCTCTGGGAAGGATCAAGGGGTTTTCCTCTGAAAGCAGAATTTGTGTGCAAAGGAAGACATGATCTTACTTCAGGTTTGAAAGTATTGCTATACATGGAGAACAGATTTTGTTGGGGTGTGGACATAGCAGTTTCCATTGTTGAGAATATTGTTTTAATAATCTGAGTGAGGGAGAATAGAACTGTGAACAAAATGGCACCATAGAAATGAATGAAGTGCCTATCTTCATAGTTAGAAAATGGAGCCAATAGGATTTACAGGTGAATTGGATAAAGAGAGGAAAAGAAGTTAGTTCACTCTAAACTTTTTGTTTTGTTTTTTTGTGTGTTTTTTTTGGGGGGGGGTCCAGTCGTGGGGCCTGAACTCTGGGCCTGGGCGCTGTCCCTCAGCTCTTCAGCTCAAGGCTAGCACTCTACCACTTGAGCCACAGCGCCATTTCCGGCTTGTTTTTCTTTTTGCTTATGTGGTCCTGAGGAATCGAACCCAGGGCCTCAGGCATACGAGGCAAGCCCTCTTCCACTGAGCCACCTTCCCAACCCTACTCTAAAGTTTTGGACAGTTGCATTTTCCTGGTAGGGAAAGTTGAGAGAAGTTGAGAGGTTAACACACCCAGTTTGATCTTGTTTGGTTGTTCATAAAACAAAGTACTTATACAAAATGAATTTGATTATATCTGTCAAATCAAATATGCAAACTCTACTCTTCTTTGAGATGTAAATATTCTACCTAATAGGTTTTTTTTTGTTGTTTTTTTTTTTTTTTTTTTTTTCCAGGGCTGAGGACCGAACCCAGGGCCTTGCGTGTGCCGGGTGGGCGCCCTTCCGCTGGGCTAAACCCCCAGCCCCTCTACCTAATAGATTTTTTAATTCTCATGTTTTATATATATATATATATATATATTTTTTTTTTTTTTTTTTTTGGTTTTTCATGGGGCTTGAACTCTGGGCCTGAGCACTGTCCCTCAGCAATTGAGCTCAAGGCTAGTGCTCTACCACTTGAGCCACAGCACCAGTTTTCTGGTGGTTAATTGGAGGCTTTCCTGCCTGGGCTAGCTTTGAACCACGATCCTCAGATTTCAACCTCCTGAGTATCTAGGATTACAGGCATGATCTACTGGTGCCAAGCTCATGTTCTAAATTTTACTAAATTCTTTCAGTTACTTGTCTTTGTATTTTAGCCTAAAAATGTATAATTAAAGTACTTATTCCTTTTGCCTATATGGAGCATTTCTTTTCTACCAAAGCTACTGGAATGGTATTTGAAAGCAAGAAAATAAAAAAAGAATTAATACAATGAATAAAATTAAAATTAGCTTATTTTTCATATCAACTCTTGATTATACAATTAATATCATGTTATGTTTCTTTGCCATTGTTGTTTTGTAGATGTATGCCAACCTAACATCTTGTCAAGCTCTCGGAAATATTTGTGTGATGAACATGAATTCTTATGATGCTACTACATTTGATGCATGCCGAGTATTTCAGTATATCTTTGAAAATACTGCTGGATTAAGTACTGTTCATTCGATTCCATTTTGGTGAGGATATTTTGGGATAACTGCCATTTGAATCAAATGCAGCACAGTTACTTTTATGAAGATTAATAATAAGAGATATTTCTCGTATTAGAACAAATGTAATTGTTTTTAGGAGACAGAATCTTCCATGGCTGTTTTATGGAGACAAGCTTGGATTGGCACCTCAAGTACTCAGTACTACCCCTCTTCCTAGAAATTACAGTTTTAAAGAACAAAACCAGGTACAAGTCTCTAAATCAGTAAATGATAGCTACATTTTGATTTGCAACTTCCAAAGCTAATAAAATTACTAATCACAATTCTTAAGTTTTTAAGGTTATTTTAAAAAATTAGATACAAAACTATAGGTATCAGCTGTTTATAAGAACTAAAGAGCAGTTAGCTATCTTTCTGAAGTATATAGTTAGCTCTGGGTTATTGGATTGTAGCAGCAAGTAGTAAGTTGTAGAATAGAGATGCGAACTTCCACCACCAAATACAAAATTATCTCTATTCTTAATTTTAAGAAATATTTCCTAATATTTCATGAGTCTCTGTGATATGACCCAGCACTTTATAGGCTATAATCCACCTCCCGCCTTTTACTGTGGGGATTATACCAGGGTCTTGTGCTCGTTAATTGAACACTTTACCACTAAGCCATGTCCTCAGCTCTTTTCCTTTTTTAGATTGTTGTTGAGATAAGGTCTCACACTAACTTTGATGTGGCTGTTCTCAAATGTTATTCTTCCTTTCTCACTACCTCCCAAGTAGTTTGTATTACAAGCATGAGCCACCATGCTGAGCCCTACCTCTACCCTTTAAACTTGCCAGAATGCAGGAATGATATTTTTCCCCACGTTCAAACCTCTCTATTTAATAAGTTTGAAAGGAAATTTCTGTCCCTAATACTGCCTCTCAATTCTGAAGTAATAATTTTTAAGTTAAAAAAGTACAGTTCTCTTAGGTGTGAAAATAATTGAATTTATTTTTCAATTTAAAAAAGTAAAAATAAAAATATCTTACATAATGTTGCTTTTAAATGGACTATTTTATTGTTGTTTTTCTTTAATCAGAACACAAAACTGAAGTTTGTTGCTGCTTCCTATGATATAAGAGGAAATTTTCTCAAGTGGCAAAGTTTAGAAGGAGGTATTTTACAGGTGAGCATGGTTCTAGCTAAAGAATTACTAATACTTTTTAATTATGCCTCATGCAAACACGAAGTGTAAAGACTAGATAATTGCTAGCATCTCAATTACAAACCACTGGTAATTTTTTTTCTGATCCCTTAAATAGGAATTTCTTAAACCTTTTTTTTTTAAGTTTTTACTGTAAATATAACACAGATATTTCCCTTAGCTATCCTAGCCTTACTACATTATGTAAGTGTTAGAGCATATATCCATGTGGGATCTAGAAAACTCTTGACTCTAAGCAAAGAAAATGTTTGTAAGAAATATTTATCACTTGTATTCTTTTGCTAAAGCTTTGTCCAGATACAGAGACAAGACTAAATGCTGCTTATTCTTTTGGAACAACCTATCAACAAAATGTAAGTTTGAACTACAGTGGACAGTCTGCATTTTGTCTTTATTTTTGAAAATATATCAGCAACAATTAGAATGGCATATGAAATTTTGAACTCCAGTGAACTCAGTAGGGAAGAAACTATATTATTAATATAGTTTATTATTATTTGTTCACAGAAAACACTAATTTAATCAGGAAGAAGAGAGTTCCTTGTCATCCATAGGGTCTTAAACATCCTCAGGGTCTCATAGTCAATTATTTATCTACTCTTTTTAGTATTACAGGTCTTGAAAAGTAATGATACTTTTGAATAGTTAAAAACATGACCTTATTTTTAGTATCTTCACTCTAACCCCCAATAACAAATGAAAAGACATCTTTTTCTCTCCCTCTTATTTTCCCCCTTCCTTTCTTCTTTTTGCATGACTTTTCATTTTGGAATTCAAATATAAAGAAATATTGTTATCCATTAAACATCTGAAAGACAGGTAGTAGTGAATAAAAATGTTTTCTTGATAAAATACCACATATACATACATAGAACAAAACCACAACCTAAAATACCATCATGCAAACCAGTTGAAGAAAATAAATAACTTTTTTAACAGTGGTTGTCTTGGGTGGCTTTATTTAGGGTTATTTTTGTTTTATAGTTTCTACAATTTTGTCATGTAAATGAACTAACTTTTTTTTTTTTAAATAGCTTATATGTTACTTTTTCATTTTATAAAAGAACTGTTATTGTATGTTTACATGGGCTAGGAGAATCAATACTTGTTAAGTACCCAATACAGTGTACATTGTCCCATTTGATTCATAAAATATCTATGTGAGATTCTCATCTGTTCTTCACAGATAATGAAATGGTGCTCAGTAAGATTAGATAATTTGTGCAGTCTTGCATCAGATAAATTGTAAAGTAAATATTCTGTTAGGTTTGAAACCATGGTAATTACATATATCCTGGCCTCAGGTTCATAGCCTAGTAGGCAAAACAGCTGTATTGACAAATATAAAAATTTGCAGGGCTGAGAATATCGTAGAGAGCTTGCCTTGCATGCATGGGGCCCTGAGTTTGATTCTTCATCACCACATAAGCAGAAAAGGCCAGAAATGGCACTGTGGCTCAAGTGGTAGAGCGCTAGCCTTGAGCTGAAGAGCTGAAGGATAGCACCCATGCCCAGTGTTCAAGCCCCATTACTGACGGAAAAAAAAAAATTGTGCCATGGATATGTATAAGATACCAATTCTCAGGTAAATATACAAAGGCTCACAGAGTTAAGTGATTCTTGGGCTTCTATAATGACTATTATAGAATTCTGCATTAAACAGAACTCAGCCTATAAGGAAATGTCAGGCAGAATCTGCATTTACAACATCAGAGAAAGAATGGTATAGCATAATTGGGAACTGCAGTAGATTACTCTGAATACATGGCCATAGATTTGTAGAAAGCAGTGAATAGTTAAGCTCTGCTAAAGGGAATCAAGTCATTGACATTATTGTCCATCAAAAGAACTGAAATTTTATTCCATTGGACAATAATGGTTTTAAAACCTCTGCACTGATGTGCATTTAATGTTGGGAATGAAGGTTTATCTTCTCCATATGTGCTCTAGAGGTCAAGATCAGAGCAATTCAATACTGTTACAGTTTGAGGGCATTGGGTTTTTTTCCCCTTCAAAAAGAATCATATTTACGAATTCATGTTTTAGAAGTCACACATAGATATACTTTATTTTGAAAACCTGAAATTTCAAATATAGTAAGTAGGCTTTTTAAAAGTTGTGATACTTTTATTTTTAATTTTATTTTCCAGTGTGAGATTCCTATGTCTAAGATCTTAACTGACTTTCCCACTCCTATATTTTATGATATTTACCTTGAATATACTGATGAAAATCAACAACAAAATATTTGGGCCGTGCCTGTGTTAAATCTAAATCTGAAATACAACACAATGTTTGTTAACCAAGGTAAGACATCTCACATACTATACTTTTTCTGACCACAAATCAGTAAATAAATCACCTGCATAATTTAATAAACCACTAACAGAAGGTTGCAGATTCTATTTTTTTTTTTTTTTTTTTTTGTCGTGAGGCTTGAAATTTAGGCCTGGGTGCTGTCCCTCAGCTCTAGTGTTCTACCACTTGAGCCACAGTACCACTTCCAGTTTTCTGAGTGGTTTATTGGAGATGAGTCTCACTGACTCAGATCTCAGCCTCCTGAGTAACTAGGATTTCAGGTGTGAGCCACTGGCACCAGGCCAAAATGAGGCTTTTTCTTTCTTTTTCTTTTTCTTTTTTTTTTTTTTTGCCAGTCCTGTGGCTTGAACTCAGGGGCCTGGTCACTGGTGCTGAGCTTCTTTTGCTCAAGGCTAGCACTCTACCACTTGAGCCATTTGGCTTTTTCTGTTTATGTGGTACTGAGGAATTGAACCCAGGGCTTCATGAATGCAAGGCAAGCACCCTACCACTAAGCCACATTCCCAGCCCGAGGCTTTTTCTTCAAGCTGTTCTTAATCTACTTTTTGGACTAATTAATTTCTTTCATTGTTATCCATGCTATAAAATCCAATTGATTAAAAAATTCAAACATTTAGAAGACATTCAAGTGAGATAAAGATGTCAATAATTTCTTATAACAGTAGCTTTTGTTTTTTGATCTTAAATGTGTTCAAAAAACTTCTTGAGAGCCATCTACCAATTCTAGAATATTTTTTAATGCAATCTTCTTTTTCTCTTTTTATAATAAAAGATAGCAGTCCTAACAAGTGGCTTCTTACTCGGCGCATTTTCTTAGTGGATGCAGTGAGTGGACGAGAAAATGACCTAGGGAATCAGCCAAAAGTAGTTCGAATTGCTACCCAAATATCACTGAGGTAAACCAATGTCTAATGACTAAATTAAGTTTGAAGTGTATGGGAAAATGTCATAACGGAAATGGAAAATGTTTTTCAGTAATTATCAGATAAAAGCAGAGACAACTGAATTGGAATAATACATATCCTTATCTTAGGTATTTCTAGAATGGTACAGACCAATAAAGGTGAAAACCCAATGGGGAAAAGGTGTTATAACAGAAAAACATGTAGAGTTAGTTAGGTCATACTTCATCTAGACCTAACTACATGTATTAATAGAGTAAGAAGCTAGGTACCAGTGGCTCACACCTATAATCCTAGCTACTCAGGAGGCTGAGATCTGAGAATTATAGTTCCAAGCCAGCCTGGGCAGGAAAGTCTGTGAGACTCTTATCTCAAGTTAACCACAAAAGGCGGAAGTGGAGCTGTGGCTCAAGTGGTAGGGAGCACTAGTCTTGAGCACAAAAGCTCAGGAATAGCATCCAGACCCTGATTTCAAGCCTTAGTACTGGCACCAAAAACAAAACAAAAACATAAACAAACAAAAAAGGAAGAGAAGATAAATACCAGTGAGCTGAAGTGTGTATCTTTTTTTGTTTTGTTTTGTTTTTGGGTCCGGTCGTGGGACCTGAACTCTCGGCCTGGGCACTATCCCTCAGCTCTTCAGCTCAAGGCTAGCGCTCTACCACCTGAGCCACAGTGCCACTTCCGGCTTTTTTTCTTTTTGCTTATGTGGTGCTGAGGAATCGAACCCAGGGCCTCAGGCATGCAAGGCAAGCGCTCTACCACTGAGCCACCTTCCCAGCCTCTGAAGTGTGTATCTTAATATGAGCCTTCTGAATGATTGTTAGCAGTTCAGTCTCCCATTCTCATTTCCTTTCATGGCTATTGTTCTAGGTTGACCCAGGTTAATTAGCAATACAGTACTTCCCTACATCCTTTCTTAGGATACTCTTAACTGTGATGCAATCTTAGAGTAGAAGCCCAGGCTCTCTTGTCTTTTCCAGTGTAAAATTTCTCTCACTGAATCATAACTGATTCTCACTCTAGTATATTATGGTGTATACTGTGAATACCCTTAGGAAAAGCAATTTAGATTGATATATATGTATGTATGTGTTTGTGTGTGTGTGTGTGTGTGTGTGTGTGTGTGTGTGTGTGTGTGTGTGTGTAGCACTTTAAAGCACTTCAATAGACACTTTTCTTTTTTTCACTGTTACTTTGACTCAAAAGTTACCTTATGAGATAAGAATAACACCATAGCTTCATCATGTGGCCAACTGAAATCCAAATGTACTGTGGTTTTAATATTTCCTCATTCTGTTAGTCTAGTATCTCTAATAAAAATGAAATAAAGTCTAGTCAAGCTTGACTTGTTCTTGATGAAACCATGCCAGCACTTTCTGTTTTGAGTTCACTTACTATATAGTACTGAGGGAATATATTTGGTAAAATGTACTCTGCTTTGTACCTCAATTGATACTAGATGTGACACTTTTTTTTTTCAAGAATCTTATATGAAAGTCAGGATATTATCTGCCTTTCTAATGGCTTCATGTACCACTACTCTTTAAGGATGATTTACAATGTTTCAGTAATTTCCTTTGTAAGTTTTATTAGACCTGGACCCAAAAAATTCTCTTTGTGTTTTGGGTTGGTATTTTTTTTCTGTTTTTTTGTTGTTGTTATTTTGATAAGGACAAATACTCTAATACTGAACTAAACACATTCCTCAAAAGAGTTTCTAATTGATCTCAGAGAATATACTTTAATATTAAAGTTTTGACCACTTAACATTAGGTAATATTGTTATATTTAATCTTTTCTAGGTCTTATTCACTGGTTAGTTCTGAGATCATCATGACAACCTATATTGCATGTAAAAGAAATGATAAATTATGCTTACAGGCCTAGATACATTCATAATTATAAATGTATTTTCTTGTAAATAGCATCTACCTTGTACCCAACACAAAAAATGGAAACATATACCCTCCCTTAATCACCATTGCCTACAGTGACATTGACATCAGAGATCCTAATAGCCAATCTGTGAAGGTGAGTTCTTTACTAATCAGTGCCCTTCTAAGTGTAAACATAATGCTGATGTAGTTTACATAATAGTCAAACAACAATGTTTTTTTAAGTTTTTAGCAAACCCTATTGTCAAGTTTTACTAGTTTTAACTACTAATGGTGAAAGGTGAATTCTTATGGATCCTCAGAATAATAATACAAGAATGAATTAAACTTTTCAGTAGAAGACTCACAAGTAATTGAACATCTCTGTTAGAGACCAGGGCATGATAAGATATGCAACATCTGTTCCTGTCCTTTCTGGAACACTTTGCCTTTTGTCTTCTTGCATAAGTAAACCAGACACAAAAGATTTATAAATGGGCATATGTGTGTTCACCAATCTAAAGCCCATTGAGTAGGGATACACTTAACATGCAGAAGGAGATTAAAACCACAAGCTTTATAGTTAGTAGTGTTAAAGTAAATAATGAGAATAAAGTTTGGACTTGCAGCCACAATTCACTACAACATAGAAGGGCTTCCATGCCTGGGAGGGCATGTATACACCAGAGAGACACCTTGTACCTCCTAAAGGCTGATCCTGAATGAGCATGGAAAGGTCTTAGCTATGCACACTTAGTTCTTTCTCTCAATTTCACAAGTCCCATAATGCTTTGAAGAAGCTTAAGTGAGAAAGACATCCATCTACAAATTTATTTTTTATATTAAAAGTATGTATATGTTATATAATTTCAGTAAGGCTAATTTGTTTTCTTTTAAATATCAGCTTTCTTTCTCAGTCAAATATGAAATGAATCAAGGAGAAGCCTATGTCCAGACAGATGTGAGTATATATTAATCTTTTAAAATGTTTACATTATTTTTCATTAAGGCATAATTCCGAATAACTAATTCAAGCTAATAAAAAGATACATAGCTTTAGATACACAGAAAGTTGTCAAAGTTTGTATTTGCCATATACTCTTGCTCTGACCAACACTAATACTGACATTTTATATATCATATATATATATATATATATATATACCATATATCATACTATATGATAATCATACAGTGATTGTAATCAAGAAATTAATATTGCCAGGTAGTAGTGGCTTATGCCTATAATCCTAGCTACTCAGGAGGCTGAGCTCTGAAGATAGAGGCTTGAAGCTAGCCTAGCCCTTTACCTCTAATTAGCCAGCAAGAAGGCTGTAGCTCAAATGGTAGAGCCCTGTCCTTGTGTGAAAAAGTAAGGGATGGAGTTGAAGCTCTGAGTTCACATACACAAAAAAAGAACCAGGCACTGGTGGCCTATGTTTGTAATCTTAGCTACTGAGGAGGCTAAGACCTAAAAGGCAACCCAGGCAGGAAAATCTGTGAGATTATAACCTCCAATTAACTACCCAAGAAAGCTGGAAGTGAAACTGTGGCTCAAGTGGTAGAGCATTAGACTTGAGGAAAAAAGCTCAGATACAACTGTCACCAAGGCCCTGAGTTCAATCCCCATACTGGCAAACACACACACACACATATCAAAGTACTTCAGTAGACCCTTGATGTTATTATTTATTAGTGGTGATAATAATTTTGTTTCTGCAAGATAGTTTCTGCAAGGTTCTTATCCATATTATTCCATTTGTAGTTAACCAGTATCTCACGAGATACTTTGAAATTATGCAAATATCCTGCTTATTATTTTGCCTTCTAATTTTAGCATCCATTAATGATCTTTCCCTGCAGAAAGTATTATGTGATATTTGCCTGATCATGTTTTTAAGTTTTCCTAATTCCCCTTATATTTATGAATTGAAATGTCATTGCTTTCCCATTGCCCACTTAGTTTATTTATTCAGTTATTTCTTTAAAGTAGTATATACATGTTGATATTTATTTTTTTTATTAATAAGTGGGGTTTTTTTTTGTCGTGGGGCTTGAACTCTGGGCTTGGGCGCTGTCCTTGTGATCTTCAGCTCAAGGGGAGCGCTCTACCGCTTGAACCACAGCACCACTTCCTGTAGATATTTATTTTAGGTGATTATAATCAATTACTGTTCATTTTCTTGCTCAAATTTCCTCAGATTTGGCCAGTGAAACTCTACCATGGATCCTGTGGCCTTACAACTGCCCCCAACTGTGCCATTCTTTGAACACTTGTTTTTTCTCTTTTGTGCTGGTACTCAGGGCCTGGGTGCAGTCCCTGAGCTTTTTTGCTCAATGCTAGTACACTGCACTTGAGCCACAGCTCTGGATTTTTGCTGGTTAATTTGGAGGTAAGAACCTCTAATTTGTTCAGCCCACTTGGCTTCAAACATCGATCTCAGCCTACTGAGAAGCTAAGATTACAGGAACAAACCACCAACACAAGCACTTCTTCCTTTTTTTGTGTGTCGGCTGAGGAGCTTGAACTCTGGGCCAGGGCACTGTCCCTCAGCTGTTCAGCTCAAGGCTAGCACTCTACCACTTGAGCCACTGCGCCACTTCTGGTTTTCTGGTGATTTATTGGAGATAAGAATTTCATGGACTTTCCTGCCCAGTCTGACTTTGAACTATGATCTCAGATCTCAGCCTACAGAATAGCTAGAATTACAGGCGTGAGCCACCAGGGCCCAGCATGCACTTCTTACTTTTTATTTACAGTATTTTTAAATACTGATGAGAGGAATCATACTAATTCTAATTTTTTTTCCTTTTTTTTAGATTGCTTTGGGTGTGTTAGGTGGACTAGCTGTGTTATCATCTCTTTTGAAGACAGCAGGGTGGAAGAGGCGCATTGGAAGTCCTATAATTGATTTACAGGTATCACAGGAATTTAAAAAATAACTTGTATTTTATAAAAATTACTTTGGACCCTTTTCAAAAGATATAGAAGATGAGTAAGAAAGTTGCTTTACATTTCTTTGAGTTGTAAATTAAATTAGCATAAGTATTGCTAAATCATAGTATACATACATACACACCTCATTTTCTTCCCATTGTGTTATATGCCAGTCTACATTCCCACTGAGATACATTCTAGTTTTTGCCCATCTTAACACTTGATGTTTTGCCAACCTTTTCATTTTTTTCCAGGCTAATAGTCATCATACCACTATTGATTTTACTGTCTCTTATTATTCTTTGTATTTTTATATGTGTGTATATTTTTTTTGTGTGTGTCTGTTTTGGGGCTTAAACTCAGGGTCTGAGTGTTGTCTCTGACCGGTTTTGAGCAAGATTAGCATTACCACTTGAGCCACAGATCAACTGCCAGCTTCTGAGTGGTTAATTGGAGATAAGAGTCTTACTTTTAATTACTCAGTTCTCAGTTCTTAGCCCCCTGAATAGCTAGAATTACAAGCATGAGCCACTGCTCATATACTTTTTTTTTCCAGTCATGGGGCTTGAATTCAGGACCTGGATGCTGTCCCTGAGCTCTTTTGAACAAGCCTAGTAGTGCTCTACCATTTTGAGCCACAGCTCTACCATTTTGAGCCACTACTTCTAGTTTTCTGGTGGTTAATTGGCGATAGGAGTCTCACAGCTTCTCATGCCTAGGCTGGCTTTGAACTGCAATCCTCCTGAGTAGTTAGGATTACAGGCATGAGCCACCAGTCCCTGGCTTCTTCGTATCTTTCAATCACTTGAGTTTTTCTTTGTGTGAATTTCCTATTTAGACCCCTTAACTGTTTTTTCAGTTAGGCTTATAGTTTTTCTTGTTTATATGAAAGACTTTTAATAAATATTAATAATAAACTTAATAAATATTAATCCCTTTTTTGGTTTTAGATGCTTTTTTCCCAAGATATTATTTTCTCCAATTACCTGTTATCCATGTGGTCCTTTATCGATAAAATTTGATTATTGTCACATTTCAAATTGTGTCACAAATTTGACACATTTAATTTTGATATTATCACACCTATTTTTTCTTTTATTATCGTATCTGATTTTACTGTCTTATTAAGGAAAATTTTCCTATCTTAATACCCCCAAAATATTCCAAGTTCATTGTATCGACTTTGGTGGCTCTCTACCACCTGAGACCTCTCTACCACTCTCTACCACCCTGAAAAATAGAATCTTTTTTTTTTTTTTTTATTCTGCTAGTCTAGACTGAAATCCTCCTATGTATACTTCCTGCATAGCTGGGATGATGGGATAACATGTTGTAAGTGCTTGCCCAGCTTTAAAAAAAATCATTGTTTTTATAAAGGTGATATACAGAGGGGTTACAGTTACATAAGTCAGGTAAAGAGCACATTTCTTTTTGGACAATGTCACCCTCTCCTCATTCCCATGCCCAGTTTTATATTGCTTAAGATAGGATCTTACAAAGTCTCTTGCCTAAGCTAACCTCAAAGTATAATCCTGAGTATTTAGAATTACAGGTGTGTGCCACCATGCCCAACTCATTATTTAGTCTTTTTAAATTAAAAACAAAATATGCCTAGCCATGTTCCAGGGAATTTTAAAAGTTTTATGTATATAATTCATTTAATTCTTTCAATAGTGCTATGAAACTATGTATTAATGATATTACTACCATCTTGTACATGCTGAAATAAGATAGAGGTTAAATTTTCTATTCAGCTTTTTCCAACAAAAGTTACTGTATGCATTTTACTGATGAAAATCATGAGAAAAGGCTACATGGTAACTTCTTTAACAAGGGTATCTTAACTCCATGTGCTAAGGAATTGGAGCAGGAGGGTTTGATTTGATGTTTGAAATAGTCAGGAAAAGCTCTCCAAAAAATTGAAATGTATGCTGAATTATTTGTTCCCTAATAGTCACTGAGGACCTACTGTCTGAGGGCCTGGCACTCTATCAGAAAGCAAACACATCTCTGAGGTCTGTGCCCTCAGGGATCATGAGAGTTTGCCCAAGATAGAAAGGGAAAAATAATGCTCCTTTCATCCCCAAAGTATTTGAGATTTAAATATAGAGTAATTAATCACTGAGTGGTTACAGTTAGTGAAAGAGCTAAATAAAAAGCTAATTTGGGTCCACATTGTAAAGGACCTCATGGCTTAAGAATTTATATTTAAAATGAAGAGAGTTAATTGTATATTTTTAAGAAAGGAAGTAACATAATCCAATTTTAATTTTAGAAAACCAAGTCTGGTGCAAATGTGAAAGATAGATGTAGTGCAGATATCCACCAAAAGAAAATTTGACCCTCCCCCACAGTATAACTCCTGCTTTCACTGTATTTCATGTGGGTATAAGTTGTGCAGGGGAAGGGGAAAAACAAATCGTTTAAATAGGGATACAGATAGACCCATTGCAACAATGAGATGTACAAGTCGGTATGTCGAAAACAAACTTTACAACTTTGGTGTGGTGGGGGGAGGATTGGATGGGGGGGGCGGGGGGAGGATGGGAAGGGATGGGAAGGGGAAACAAAGGAGGAGGCTACAATGCTTGATAAGAAATGTACTCATTATCTTGCCCATGTAATTGTAACCCCTCTGTACAGTATTTTCACAATAAAAATAAATAAATAAAAATAAAAAATAAAAAAAAGAACATGTGAAAGCAGTTTCCACTTTCTTAGTGAAAGATTAGAAGGGTGAAAGGAGACTACTGGGAACGGAATGAAAAGTAAGGATCCAAAAGGTATGTGCAGGAGAGGACTCGGTCCATATAATTTATGATACATAGATTCATAAAGAAGGCTTTAGGCTTGAGAAAATTAGTGGACAGAATATTATTAAAAGTAATATTACTTGGAAAAATGGTAAATGGATGGAGGGAGTCTAACCATTATAATTCTTTTTAAATTGCAGGCAGTGATGAAATTCTTGATGTACTATGCTGGTGATCTGGCCAATGTGTTTTTTATCATCACAGTGGGAACAGGTCTTTATTGGCTTATTTTCTTCAAAGTGAGTGAGTTTCTAAATTTAACCTAAATGACAATATCTGAATAACTGGCAAACTCAGTTTATGAGAGAACTATTTTTTTCAGTTCAACATATCAATTTATTAGTACAGTGCATCTTGATCAGTAATAATAAATAGTTCTTAATCGGTATTACCCCTTTCGTCATTCTCCCCCATCTCTCCCAAGCCCACACACACCCTCAAGTTGCCTGGTTCTATTTTCACATGTGTACATTGAGTATTATGGCTGTGTTCACTCACCTATTCTCTCTCCATTCATCTGCCCTCACTGCCCCTTGTCCCTTCCCTCCATCTAGACAACATCTGTTTCATCTTCCTGGTATTCATTATGTTGAACTGTAAGTTAGTTGTTTATACTTTAGGCAGTATGTTTATGTGTATATGCATATGACCCTGTATGTTTTCATATTTGTTGATAATTTAGATCTGACTTCCAAATATGAGAGAAAACATGGGTATAAGAAAACTGTTCATTTGGGGCTATTTTCCGAACAAGAATTCCAAGGCAGATCCTAAACTCACCATCCCCTGAGCGTGCCATTTATTAAGTACTTTCCTAGCTCCCTATTTTGTGCTTTCTGTGGTTTATAAATTGTGTTTAACAAAAATCTGTTGTGGTTTTATTGACCAAGAACTTTTAATTATAGGCACAGAAGTCTGTCTCTGTTTTGCTACCAATGTCAATTCAAGAAGAACGTTTTGTTACTTATGTGGGATGTGCTTTTGCTCTGAAGGTAAGCTTCAAAGGGAAGTTTACCAAAGTAAAAGGCCTGCTAATAAACTACTAAATCTTGACAAATAAGATACATTCAAAATCTTTGTAATAAAATTAACTTTGGTTTTGAAAGGAAGCATGAATTATTGTACTTTACAATAGAAAATGCACCTTTACGTATATTATTCAATAAGTTATCTGAAGTAATTTTTTCAAAGAAGCTCAAGACAAGTTTTGACTACCATGAATTGTAGCTACTTTGATAAAATGATATTTCAGTGTATAATTTTCTTCTTTAAAATCTAATGATGCGTTGCATAATGGGACAAAATGCTTCCAGTCATGAATTTTGTCTCTGTTCTTCATGGGTAAAAAAGTAACATTCTAGATAAAGTGCTAAAATTAGAAATTTTGTTTGCCTCCATATTCTTTTCATTCTCTTCTTCCTCTGGCAACTCCTTCCTAGCTTCCCTGTTCTCTGTTGTAGTAGATGAGGCTCTTCCCATGCCTCTCTGTTCCCATCCCACTGTATAGTAATGAATAGGTAGGTCTCTGATTTTCCCATTGAAGAAGGAGTTCCTTGGGGAGAGTCATTGGCTCCTACTTAGATTTTTTTTTTCCCTTTAACCAAAATAATGCAAACAGGAAGCATGCCTCAGTTTAAACATGTTCCTATAAGTGACAATCATATGTTTCGACAACATTTAAAAATATTAGGAATGTCTATACCAGAGATAGAAAAAAATAAAGAGAGGACATCATAAAACTTAAAGTTAGTGAATTACTTAAAATTACTTACAAATACCTTTACTTATAAATAAGTCAGATAACCTACAAAACTTTGGGAGAAAGAGTCAGTTATCAAAGAATGTCTTCTGTGTTTTTTAATCTATTTTAATGAGAGAAAAAGGGAAGGTAAATTAATAGGCATATGACAATTTTACAAGTTTGGTGATTCTGGATGATATGAGAATCTAGTGGTCTTCTAATGGTATTAGAATTCCATCTGAAGTCACTTGTAAAATTTATGTACTCTTGTCATCACTGTGTCTTTCTTAAAGAATAAATATTGGTTTCATAATAGGCTTAATACTAATACTTTGTTTTTTGTATGTTGTTTTCAGGCTCTGCAATTTTTGCATAAACTCATATCCCAGATTACCATAGATATATTCTTTATTGATTGGGAGCGACCTAAAGGAAAAGTTCTTAAGGCTGTTGAAGGTAATTGAAATAAACATTTGTACAAGAATTCCCTTTTTACCCTTGCAGAACAAAAATGAAAAAAGATTTTACTAATTTTACTAATTTTATCTCTCTTACCAGGTGAAGGTGGTGTTCGGAGTGCCACTGTTCCTGTGAGCATTTGGAGAACGTACTTTGTAGCAAATGAATGGAATGAGATTCAGACTGTGAGAAAAATTAATCCACTCTTTCAAGTACTTACTGTCCTCTTCTTTTTGGAGGTATAAACTGTTTTACAAATTTAAATGCAACTTACTGGTACTTTCTAAATGTTAATGTAATTACAACAGTGCTCATGGAAGAGTGTTCTACAGGTTGAAAATTGTTATCAAAACAATACTAGCAAGTGCTAGTTGTTCACACATGTAATACAGCTACTCAGGAGGCTGAGACCACAGAGCAAAGCCAACTCAAGGAAAAAAAGTCTGTGAAGCTCATATTTCCAATTAACCAGCAAAAAGCTGGCTCAATTAGTAGAGCACCAACTTTGAGCAGAAAACAGTAATGAGCAAGAATGCTCAGGCCCTTTAGAAAATTGTAATGCCTTTCTTTTCAATCCTTTTCTCCTTCCCACAAAAGAAAAATAAAAAAATTACAAGTAAGAGGCTGGGAATGTGGCTCAGTGGTAGAGTGCTTGCCTAGTATGCATAAAGCCCTGGATTTGATTCCTCAGAACCACATAAACAGAAAAAGCCAGAAAGGGCACTGGGCTCAATTAGTAGCCTTGAGCAAAAGAAGCTCAGGGACAGTGCCCAGGTCCTGAGTTCAAGGACTGGCACACACAAAAAAAATTACAAGTAAGATATGTTAAAATACTTACAACATAAAGCTTCCAAGCTTAACTATTTTTAAGTATATAACTGCACTTGCATGGCTGAGCACAACTCCCACTACCGTTCTTTTCCAGCTCTTCATGCCCTTCTTACCCCAGCTCCTCCTTACCATGATGCTACTTTCTAGCTCCGTGAATCTGATTGCTCTTAAATTCTGAAACCACTGGTTTGTATCAGAACTCCCCCACCCCCACCTCGGAACTTACATAAAATATCAGTGTTCATATCCCTTAGAGATTATATTTGATTTTATAGCTTTGAGATAAAGCCAGATACAGGAAACCTGCCTTACTCATTTATTTTATGACATGCAGTTTTCATCAAGCACAGGCAAAACAACTAATAATTTTTTTTTAATCAAAAAGATTTCAAAACTAAAAGTAGTAAGCCCCCACCTGAACATCCACACCTGATGCTGTGAAGCTCTGCCAGTCCCATCTTGTAGCAGTTGTGTTTAAATCTCTATGTGGTCCTCTGAGTATTCCCTCTCCTTGACTTTGTGATAGTATGCCCCCAAAAGCGTAGTGAAATTTAATGAAGACTGGAGATTTGTTAAGGGACAGTTGAGCAGCAGCCGGGAAAAATGAATCAAGCATCTGCAGTGCAGCACTGAGCTCTGTGCACTCAAAACATTCACAGTATTCTCCTTGGAACCATGCAACCACAAATACCAAATATCTACTGTGTCTAATCTTTCAAAACTCACTCTCCCCAAGGATCCATGTTTTCTCTCCTGTGTTAGAACCAACATAAGGATGATATTTTTCAAAAGATTTTTATTGAACACCTACTTTGGACTATGTTCTGCATTATTATATTTATAGTTACCTTATGAATATGGTTGGAATTATAAAAAATAGTATTCTGAGTAGTATTCAGTACTGAATAGGACAGAAATATACCTGTCACCTATTTGCATTGGTGACATGTACCTAACTATTTGCCTTAATAGGGTTGTGTATGAATTATTAACTCTTACTCTGCCTTCTTTCTTTTCTCTATATTCCTCTTTCTTTTTCCTCTTTCTGTTTTGTATCCCCAGGGATTTTGAATATGATTTAAAATACTGCAAACTTCAGTTGAAGTAGTGCTGTTTTTTTAAGTTGACAAGAATTATATACATTTACAGTATACAATAGAAGTTAATGTATGTATACATTGTGGAATGGCTAAATCAAGCTAACTAACATACCTATTACCTCACATACATCTTTTGGGAAGCAATGTTTTTAAAGGCTATTTGAAAAATAAGTTTTATAATCAATACATTAGATTCATTGAAATCATACTGAGACTTTGCAGACGGAAAATGGAACTTTCTACTCCTTTACCTTGAAAAACTAAAGTTACACAAGTTCACAAACAGCAGAAAGAGCTAGATATTTATATTTTTTTCTTTTTACTCCAGGTTGTGGGATTCAAGAATTTAGCATTAATGGACTCATCCTCTAGTCTTTCTAGAAACTCATCAGATTACCTACCTCCTTACAGCCGCATTTTGAGATATGCAGTGTCTATTGCTCTTTGGCTAGTCATTGGAATTATGCAGGTAACAAGAAATTATACTTTTAATTAATACTACCTCTCTATAAGTCTTTACATATTGATTACCCTCAACTGTTGATCCATTTTCTGATTTCTATAGCAGAATGCTTATAGAAGCAGTAATAATAATTACTTATAATGAATGAAATTCAGGCACTGTATTAGTTACTTTATAAATATTAGCTATTTAACTTTTACATTGATCCTTATAGATAGGCTCATCCTCATTCTACAAGCGAGAAAACTTGAACCTCAGGAAGGTTAAACAATTGCTTATAACCATGCAATTAGTAATTGGCTGAACTAGAATTTGAACCCAGGCAGTTTGATTTCAGTATTTACATTGTCAGTAATGTGTGTTCTGAAAGATCTTTCAGAGTCTGAAGCTTTCTAGACATAGAATAGCCCCTTGTCTCTCTCTCTCTCTCTCTCACTCTCTTTCTCTCTATGTGTGTGTGTGTGTATGTGTGTATGTATGTATGTATATCACTATTTATTTGTATAGTATAAATTCTTTTTCAAACTTAAAAGAGGGTACTTCTTCAAACCAGCAGATTCCAGGGCAGTAGATAGATGAAGAAATGCTCAAGCAGCAATATCTCAGTTAGTAATTTTAATATTAAATAAGTAATAATACCATACCACCATGGGACAAAGGATGGATTAACTGACTGACATGGTTAAGCAAAATTCTCTCCCTCTACCTCTGATGTATACGTTCAAGGTTGGCCCTTTTTTTTTTTTTGTGGTAATACTGAGGTTTGAACTCAGGGCTTTCTACTTGCTAAGCAGGCACTTTACCACTTAAGCCATACCTCCAACCTATGATTTATACATTCAAATTAGCTCAAGGCAAACTCAAGGGAGTTACAGGAAAATAGAAAAAAGGTCACATTCCAAGGTAGATGACAAAAAGTCAGGAAGGCACATAGCAGTGTGGATAAGGATCCAGTACATACAGGACTCTGTCTTTTGACAGGAATATTGCAAAAGGTCAAATGCTCATAATCCTGTGTCTTTAAACATAAGATTAAAAAAAACCATACAACCAGGGTTTTCCAGTGGTATAATTTATACTTCAAGCACACTGTCAAATCCCCTGCAGCCAGTTGCAGTCCCACAGGCTCTAGGGTTCCCACAAAAGAGCTGGTGAGTAACAAACACAAAAGTAGGACAAATAAATTAGCAGTAAAGTAAGACAGGATCAAGAACATGAATTGTCATGTTTTCATTAATACAATAGTAAGGAAATATATTGTATGTATACCAGTGTACATTGTGACTGTATCACAGATATATCTGATTGTAAAGAGCTTAAAGGAGTACACCTAAAACTTTTCAAATTTGGTTAAATATTACAAAAATAAATCAGTATAGACATGGCTGAAATTAAAGAGAACTTTATTTTTCCATGGCAAAGAAGAGTAGAGGTTAGCAGTACTGGGCTGAATTGATGGCTTGGTGCTGCCATCAGGACCAGAAGTCAGCTTTACTCTACTCAGCTCCCTGCTGCATGGAACCCAGGATCCATAACAACTGATGGAGATGGAGGAGGAAGGCAGGAGAGATGATCCTACTTCCCTTGTTTAAGTGTCAGGGCTTGGTCACATGGTCATGCTGAGCTGCACTGGCAGAATGACAGCGGAATGTGGCCCATTCAAAGGACAGGTTTATACTAAGGAGAAAGGGGTACCAGCTTGCAATCTGAGAAGCCACTGTGTAACTGCATATTTTGCTTCTCACTTCTAAGATTATTCTAAGTATCTTCTTCAGATATCCTTGGGACTTCCTTTATCAACTGGTTATAGTTTCACAGACTTGTCTAAAGCTTAGTCTTTTCAGCTTTTTGGTGATATCCTTTCTTTTTAAACATTGAATGCTGTTGTACAAAGCCAGAACTAGTGCTGTGGCTCAAATGGTAGAGCGCCAGCTTTGAGTTCAGCACCAAGCCTTGAATTCAAGCCTCAGTACTGTCATACACATGCAATAAATAAACAAATAAATATAAAGTGTTTAGGAAAGTGTCCTCAATAATCAGCTTCTATAGATGTACTTATTTATTCAATCCCACATTTGAGTACACTGTGTTCTTATTTGGAACTTCTTTCTTCTTAAAATACAACAATGTGGCTATAAAAGAAAATTGAAATCTGGAAGCTAATTAGCATGATTTTGGCTTAATGTTTCAGACTGTGTACTTTGCTGCCTTTTATGAGAGATTCATAGAGGATAAAATTCGACAGTTTGTGGATTTGTGCTCTATGAGTAATGTAAGTACTTTCTGACTTTATTTTGAACCTATTATTTTTTGCCCTTTGAGTGTAATGACTACATTAAGAGAGGTTTTTAAAGTGATTTGGTGTGATTGAATTTTTAGTCTAATTTTCCACTGGCTATTAATTCCAAAGTTGGTTAAAATGAGTTGCCTTAGGTTTTACTTCTTTATTTGCAGTTCTTAATTATGAATTTCTTATGCGGCCAAATAGTTTATTTATCCTATGACTCTTGAAAAATTTTCATATATCAAAATTTCCTCCTTTCTTGAGAAATACCTTTATGTAACTTTTTTTTTCATTTCTTTTTGTTTTGTGATAGTCCTGAGGCTTGAACTCAGTGCCTGGGCACAGTTCCTTAGCTTTATTGTTCAACACAGCTCTACTTTTGGCTTTTTGATGGTTAATTGGAGATACAACTTTCATAAACATTTTTGCCCAGGCTGGCTTCAAACCATGATCTTCAGATCACAACCTCTGGAATAGCTCAGATTATAGGTGTGAGCTACTGGTGCCCAACTTATGTTTACTTTCCAAAAAAATCCTTTTTGTTTTTTATACTTTATTAAACTTTTCCTATGTTTCCCAAGAGTTTAGTCTGTGAGAAGAAGCAATTTTAAGAAAAACTTGATTTTATTGGTTTGTAGATGAGTTTCTAATTTTCCTTTTTCCTCTTTTTAAAAATATAGATATCAGTGTTTCTGTTGTCCCACAGATGTTTTGGATATTACATTCATGGTCGATCTGTACACGGGCATGCAGATACGAACATGGAAGAAATGAATGTGAATCTTAAAAGAGAAGCGGTATGAACATTCTTTTTTTTTTTTTGTAGTCACAAGGCTTAAACTCAGGACCTGGGAACTGTCCCTGGGCTTTTTTGCTTAAGGCTAGCACTCTTCTACTCAAATCACAGCTCCACTTCCAGCTTTTTGGTGATTAATTGAAGGCTGGTTTTGAACCATAGATCTCAGTATCCTGAGTAGCTATGATTACAGATATAAGCCACCAGCACTTAACTTGAATGCTCTATCTTTGTTAGTTTGTTGAAGATGCTCTCTTTTCTTAATCTAGGAATTATAACCATATTTTAAACATTCTCATTTTTTTCTTTTTAAAAAATTTTTTGTTATCTTTAAGTGGTTGTACAAAGAAATTCCCTTTCTACAAAACAGTATGTGAATACGAAGTGTCTAACAACATAAAAATTCTCTTTTTTTTTTTTGGGTCCGGTCGTGGGGCCTGAACTCTGGGCCTGGGCGCTGTCCCTCAGCTCTTCAGCTCAAGGCTAGCGCCTACCACTTGAGCCACAGTGCCACTTCCGGCTTTTTTCTTTTTGCTTATGTGGTGCTGAGGAATCGAACCCAGGGCCTAAGGCATACAAGGCAAGCACTCTACCACTGAGCCACCTTCCCAGCCCCAAAAATTCTCATTTTTGAAAGTTATCAGGGTACAAATTCATTACCCTGAACATGGATTGGTAAAGTTCACTTTTGAAAGGTCACTTTAAAAAATTATCAGGATACAAATTTATTACCCTGAACATTGGTAAGAGATAGGAATCTAGTAATATCCAGTAGTTTCTATAGGAACTATGTTTTAAGGCAAACAGATAATACATGAAAGGTCTTCATTATAAAAAGTAAGAGGAATTCTAAATTAGAAAATTACCATTTTGTAATGGTTTGTGGATTAGTGAATGTAGGTCATCTGGATACTAAAACGAGAGTAGGGAACTTATGAAGGTTGATATCATCTACATACACTGATTGAGTTTGTTTTTATAAGTAAAAATAAGGAAAACTAACATACACTTTCTGATATGATAAAGTAGGAAGTATATGACATCATCCATGAAGTATTCTTGCCTAAGAAAATTGCTCCTAAATATATCTAGATATTGCCACCATTTTCAGGACATACAAGGAATAGCATGGTAGGAAACATTCAGCCAAATCCAGAGTATCCATTGCATTGAATGACAAGTAGCTCAGAGTCTCCAAATAAATCAGTTGCATGAAAAGAGGAATAATGGTGATGTTAGGAGAGCTATTATATACCAAGAGAAACTGAAGTAGAAAAACAATTAAATACAATGTGCAGAAATTGTTTGGATCCTGATTCAGATCCTATAACAAATATCTTTGGAAAAAAATCAGAAAAATGTAATGGACTTATATTAAACTAATTAATTTTAGGGTCCTTATTAGTTAGAAATTTACAAATGATTTAAATAGCATGATCTGGAGTCTGCTTTAAAATCTAAGACTGAGTGCAGTGCCTCATACCAGTAATCCTATGTCTTCAAGAGGTAGAAATCAGAAGATCACAGTCCTATGCCAGTCCAGGCAAAAAGTTAGTGACATAGCTGGGTTCCAGTGGCTCACGCCTATAATCTTAGCTACTCAGGAGGCTGAGATCTGAGGATCATGGTTCAAAACCAGCCAAGACAGAAAAGTCCGTGAGACTCTGATCTCTAATAAACTACTAGAAAACCGGAAGTGGTGCAGTGGCTCAAGAGGTAGAGCGCTCGCCTTGAGCTGAAGAGCGCAGGGGCAGCGCCCAAGCCCAGAGTTCAAGCACCATGGCTGACCAAAAAAAAAAAAAAAAGTTAATGACATATTCCCTTTAAACCAATAGGTTGTGTATGGTGGCATGTACTTGTCATCTCAGCTAAATAGACATAATTAGGAGGACTGAGGTCCAGAGCCTTGGTAAAACCTTATTAAAAAAAAAAATAGGACAAAAAGGGTTAGAAGCATGGCTCAAATAGTAGAGTGCCCGCCTAGCAAGTGTGAAGCCTTAAGTTTGAACCCCATTTCCACATACACACAAAATTATGCTAATAACTGGGCATAGTGGTACAACCTATAATCATATACTCAAGAGGTAGAAGTAGGAGGATCATCAATTTGAGTCCAGCCTTACCTATAATTGTTTCTCTAAAATAAAATCCTTTAAAGAAAATAAAATTCTCTTAAAATACTCAGGAGAATACATGAAACAAAATGTTATAATATTGAAACTGAATGATAGATATGTGCATTTGAGAATTTCCATAGTAAAAATCTTAAAAGAACAAGTTACACTTAAAAACAAAAACCAAGAGAGCTAGGTGCTAGTGGCTCATGCGTGTAATGCTAGCTATTCTGAGGATTAAGGTTCAAAGCAAGCAAAAGCTGGGAACAGAAGTGTGGCTCAAATGGTGTAGCACTAAAGCTGCAAAAAGCTAAGGGATAGAACCCAGGCCCTGAGTTCAAGCCCCAGTATCTGCACCAAAAGGGCCCGGGGGAGAGGGGGGAATGGAATTAAGTGATTCAGAGGCTATATATATAATATGTATAATTTATAAGACTTTTATACATGGTAATGACATCTCAGAGAATATATTTAATACATTGAACTAGATTGCTTAGAAATTACTCTGGCTTGAAAGGTTAAATAATAAAAATTGAAATCAAAACTACATAGAAAACAATATTTCAGATTAAGTAATGACTTAAAAATAGAAAGCACCAAGAAGGGAATATGAACTGTCTTTTACTATATTAATATACTGTATAAACATATCAATTATAAAGATAAAAATTAGAAGAATACTCATAACAAATATGGCAGATATTAATAGCTATATTAAAAATTAAGCAAATCAATAAGAAAACACTAAACTAAAACATCAGACAGATGTTAAGAAATAAAGACTGAAACAGAAGAAATCAGTAAATGCAAAAAAAATTAAGTCATAATCAAATAACTTAATATAAAAGTGATATATTGGGCTGGGAATGTGGCTTAGTGGTAAAGTGCTTGCCTAGTGTACATGAAGCCCTGGGTTCAATTCCTCATTACCACATACACAGAAAAAGCCAGAAGCAGCACTGTGGTTCAAGTGGTAGAGTGCCAGCCGTGAGCAAAAGACACTCAGGAATGGGGCTCGGAAGGTGGCTCAGTGGTAGAGTGCTTGCCTTGCATGCATGAGGCCCTGGGTTCGATTCCTCAGTACCACATAGGCAGAAAAAGCCAGAAGTGGCGCTGTGGCTCAAGTGGTAGAGTGCTAGCCTTGAGCTGAAGAGCTGAGGGACAGTGCCCAGGCCCTGAGTTCAAGTCCCAGGAATGGCAAAAAAAAAAAAAAAAGTGTTATGTTTTCCCTCTTCAAGTCGTCAAAGTTACAAAAAACCAATCTAATGCTTAAAAGTATCTAGGACACAGTGGGCACCTTCAAAACATTTGCTGTCAGAATAAATTTTACAAACCTTGGGAAAGCATTTGACCAAAAAGGAATTCATGATCTTTTTATCGTTTTATGAATTTAACTTAAAAGAGAAATTAGCCATATGATCAGCTAATTAGATTTAGGATCTTTAACACAGAGGTTCTTTTTAAGTGGAAAAATATGTAAAAATTAGAGAACCTTAAATAAATTAATTAGTCATTACTACATGTTTTATAGAAGATGTAATGGCATGGGGAGATGCTCAGAATATATTTGGCTAAAAAAAAAAAATCAGCATGATTTCTTTTATTCTATCCATATGTGTATGCCTTAGGAAAAAGACAGGAAATCAAAGACCTTAAAATAACTGTAGCTCTGAAGGTTGAAATTATAGCAATTTTTTGTAGCTCTGAAAGTTTCATAAATTCTACACAGTAGCATGTATTCTCTTGATCAAGAAAAAAAGTCATTTAAAATAAGTAGGTGATCAAACTTTTTGGAGGAATAGTTCATCAATGACAATCAGCTAGATGGTGGGGTTGGTATGGCAAAATGCTATGGATATGTAGTTGTCAGTATTTAAAGGCGACCCAAAATGGATATCTGGTGCATAATATTCACTATTCAGTCCTTCATCACTATGTATGGGTTTTATATTTTGTTTGGTTGGTTTGGTTGGTTTTTTTTGTTTTTTGTTTGTTTTTTGTTTGTGGAATTCAAGTGGTTAGATAATGAAAAGACCATTTGCAATTATAAATCTAGATAATTCTAAGACTAGACTTTTGAGTATACATTAGTGAGTAATGAGATTAATCATAAAACCAAGAATATCCATGTACAATGATCTTAGTTTTTTTTTTTCTTTTTTAAGTAGAACAGAGTGAAGGAGATGATATAGAGATCTGTAGAGAAGTATGTTTTACAAAAAAATAGAACTTGGTAAAAATCTGGAAGAAAATAGGATCCTTGGATAATATTGTCTCAAATACAGTGTCACCAAATTTTACTAGGCTTCTGAGTCTTATAATGTGTAACAAGTAAGAGAAAAATGTTGTATTTTCTTTTTGAGATAGGCAGTTTTTTAATTTTTTAAAATTTAAATCCTTTATCTTTTCAGGAAAATTTGTGTAGCCAGAGAGGTTTGGTACCCAACACAGATGGTCAGACTTTCCAGATTGCAGTTTCTAGCCAGATGAGACAACACTATGACAGAATTCATGAGATATTAACAAGGGTTTGTATAAAGTACATTTCAGACATATTTTGTCAGTATTTAATGTTATTAAATACCAAGAATGTAAGACATGTTATGATTTTTTGTTTCTCTTTTATATTAGAAAAATGGCCCTGCAAGATTATTGAGTTCATCAGCAAATACTTTTGAGCAAAGTATAAAAGCATATCATATGATGAATAAATTTCTGGGCTCTTTCATCGATCATGTATGTATGTCAATATTTGTATTTAAGCTAGGATCGAATGCACTTTTTAAAAAAGCTAAGTGGGAATTAGATCTTTAATATATATGGGCTTGCTGGGTGCTAATGGCTCATGCCTATAGTCCTGTCTACTCAGGAAGCGGAGGAGATCTAAGGATCACAATTTGAAGCTAGCCCTGACAGGAAAGTCAATGAGACTCCAATTAACCAGCAAAAAGCTGGAACTGGAGTTGTGACTGAAGTGGTAGAGCACTAGCCTTGAGCAAAAAAGCTCAGGAATAGTATCTAGGCCCTGAGTTCAAGCTCCAGGACTAACACAAACACACACACCACAAACACACGAGTGCAGGCACACATACAATATAATCATCAACAGTTTGATTTAGGAATAAAGTTAGATTATATGAAAGACAACAGGCCAACAATCCCTTCTTCATTGTTTGGTTTTGTTTAGTATACCATGTATGCTGATATAGATGCCTACAAGTACAGATTTGCCAGAGACAGAAAGGAGAATACAGATCAAGCTAGACAGACAAAAGCCATCATAAAAGATGACATAGATAAGTTTTGAACTGGGTCTTAAAGAAAAAGATAAACAGTTGTTTGATCAAAGGAGAGGGTTAAGGGAAATATTAAGTCTATTATTTAATGTGTCTATTAGTAAATGGTGATTCTCTTAAAATAGGTCTGTATTAAGATTTGTTAGCACATTACCATGCTAATAAACATAGATATCATTGAAGTGTGCCAAGCAGATTTTTTTAAACTGTATAAATTATTCTGATAGTATGGTATAACCTGAGTTACATAAATGACTTTATTACTCATTATTGTCTTCCCTGTATTATTACTTGTTAATAACTTTATTACTTATTATTGTATTATTTTTGTATACCTGAAAGGCATGTTATAAGTGATTTTAAGCATGTCAGATCCTCAATACTATTGCTGGCAATTAAGTTTGAAGCTAGTTCTAAAGCAATAGTAATATGTCAGGTAGCAGAAAAAAATATAAAAGATACAACAAGAAAGCATGACCAGTAGACCTCAAAAAGATAGTCCTAAAACAGATTTTGTTATAAATCCTAGTATAGTAAATTCATTTTACAAAACAGATTTTCCTTGTGTACTTTCATATTTCCTACTTCTGATTTTTTATTAGTTGGAAAGCCCTTACTTCACTATTTTCTTACATGATACTTCTCATTTTAGGTTCATAAGGAAATGGATTACTTTATAAAAGATAAGTTGCTTCTTGAAAGAATTCTTGGAATGGAGTTCATGGAACCAATGGAAAAAAGCATCTTTTACAATGGTATCCTTCAAATGCTCATATACTATTTTCAAAGTTTGAGATGAAAAGTACTATAATTATTTTTCCTGTGATTTTTAAAATTTCATCTGAAAACAAAGGACACATAATAACTTCATGAAACTAGTAGTCGTTTTCTGTGTTCCATTTTATTATGTCAGGTAGTAGAAAAAAAATACAAAAGATTCAACAAGAAAGCTGAATTTCATGATCAGTAGGCCTCAAAAAGAGTAAAGTAACATAAAATTCAGATTTTACTACAATGTATATTCAGTAAGAAATAGGAAACACTTAAAGAAAAAACAATAACATTTGATGCCAGGCACCAGGGCTCATACCTATAATATGAGCTGTTCAGGAGGCTGAGATCTGAGGATCACAGTTCAAAACCAAGGAAGTTCAGGGCAAGAAAGTCGACTATCCCAATTGACCACCAAAAAAGGCTGAAGTAAAGCTGTGGCTCAAGTGGTACAGCACTAGCCTTTGAGCAGAAAAGCTCAGGGCACACACACACACACACACACACACACTAAATTTAGATTAATCTTTAAAACATGTTTTTCTTTTTTTTTTCTTTTTGCTTGAAATCTGGGCTTTGTGCTCTCCCATTTAATTTTTTACTCTCCCATGTTCTTCAAAATCACTGGTATTTCTGACAGGAATATTGATTAAACTTGGTTTTATAAACACCAGAAAGGTAGCATATATGCCAGTTGTAATGTGACTAGCAACCTGGTATATAGGTTGGTAAGAATGATACTGATCTACAGTGTCCTGACTTACATATATTGTATCCATGTGTGACTTACATATATTGTGTCCATGTGTCTTGCATGGCAGATGAGCCAGTCCTGAGAGACACTGGCCAATAGTCCCTTCTCCATTGTTTGGTCTTGTGTTGGACATGTGTGCTGACATAGCTGGCTACAGGTACAGATTATGCCAAGGACAGAAAGGAGAATACAGATCAAGCTAGTCAGAGAAAAGCCACCAAAGGCAACATGGATAAGTTTTGAACTTTGTCTTAGAGGAAAAAAACAAACAATTATTATTTATTTAGTTATTTTTGTTGGTGGTAGGGCTTGAACTCTGGGCCTGGGTGCTGTCCCTCAGCTCTTCAGCTCAAAACGAGAGCTCTACCACTTGAGTCACAGCACCACTTTTGGTTTTCTGGTGGTTAATTGGAGATCAGAGTCTCATGGACTTTCCTGCCTAGGCTGGCTTTGAACCACGATCCTCAGATTTCAGCCTCCTGAGTAGCTAGGAGTGAGCCAGGAGTGAACCCCCACCGCCCAGCTAACCAGCTATTTTATCAAAGAAGAGGGCTAAGGAAAATATTAAGTATATTATTAAACTTTTTTCTAAAAACATTGATTTTGCATAATGGAAATTTGTTAAAAATCACTTTACAGATTTTATATAGCTTAATCTGAAGTGGGACACAGTATAAGAAGAGTGCTCCAATGGTAAAGAGGACAGATACCATATCCCAAACATTTTTTCTGACATGTTAGGGAGTTTCTCTTTATCCTGTAAACAAGAATTAAATTTTTGCCCTGCTAGATGTCTACATTGATCCATGGAAGTATAGAAAAATGACTTCTCTTATTTCTAATTCCATCATTCTTAATATATAATGTATGTTTCAATTATAGGTACACACACACACACACACACACACACACACACACACACACACACACACACACACACACACAGGCTTATGCCTATAAACCTAGCTACCCAGACACACACACACACACACACACACACACACACACACACACACACACACAGGCTTATGCCTATAAACCTAGCTACCCAGACACACACACACACACACACACAGAGGCTTATGCCTATAAACCTAGCTACCCAGGAAGCTAAGACTTTAGTATGGTAGTTAGAAGCCATTGAGGACAGAAAAGACTGAGACTCCATATCCAAAATAATCAGCGAAATGCCAGACTAGAGGCAGCCTCAAGTGGGTAGAGCACTAGTCATGAACCAGAAAGCTAAACAAGACTTCAAAACCCTGAGTTTAAGCCCCAGTATTGGTACTGTCTCCACCCCCCCACCCACCTACCCACCCCCCCACCCCCCTGCCAAAAAAATTATAATATGAAAAGTGATGATCATGGTCCAGGTCATTCTGGCCAAAAAGCAAGACTTTATTGAAAGATAGCTAAAGCAAAAAGGATTAGGGCATGGCTTAAGTGGTACATTGTCTTTCTAGCATGTACAAGGCCCTGAGTTTAGACCCTAGTACCTCCCCCTGCCCCCACATAAACACCAAAAAAAGAAAAAACAAAAAAGAGGAAGGAAAGAAGAGGAAGGGAAAGAAAGTGAGGGGAGAAAGAGAAAAAGAATATAAGGATATTCATTAACTGGCCTTTGGAAAATACTGATTATATACTTAACACTACTAGAGATTTTAATTTCTAATATACGTCATGATTTTTTAACAGATGAAAGTTATTCTTTCAGCAGTATGCTGTATTATGGAAATGAAGCCACCCTTCTTACTTTTGATCTGTTATTCTTCTGTGTTGTGGATTTGGCTTGCCAAAATTTTATTTTAGCAGCCTTTCTTACATACCTACAACAAGAGGTAAGTTTAATTTTTTTTCTGGGCTTATTTAAAAAGGAATATCTTGGAGAAATAGGTATTTATTTCCTAGCAGAGAGTAGCATCACTGACTTACAGTAGGAATTTGCTTAGGATATAACTAACCCTAGCATAAGAAGGAATGACAGGTCAGTTGGCCACATTCTGCACTCTGACCTTTAGGTCAGTGAAATGCTAGGGTCGGGGCATAAATTGCTTGGTGAGTGAACAAAATCTGGTAGGAAGATAATCTAACTACCAGTTTCCTAGATACCAGAAATGAACACTAATGACGGTTCTATTGTCACTGGAGATGTAGCTCAGAGATCAGCACTCCAAAGTCCCTTCAGCTTGTATCTCAGGCATCCCTCCTGAGTGCATAATAAGTAACTAGGGATGAGATCTCTGAAATAGTTTAAGGGAGACAACTCAGTGTTTGAATGGTGAATGTACCCAAATATTCTCCACTGTGTCAAAGAAGTACATAAGTCAGTAGCATGCAATTTATCAGCCTTGTTAGAGATTTAGAATTATGAACATATTCTGCCCCTATGAGGTAGGTTCTTTTAATGCTTTTATAGCTTACAGAATTAGAAGAAAATTGCCTTTCCAAATATTTTGGTGAAGACAAAGAGAGTTGAATTATTAACTCATAAAAATATTTTTAAATGAATTTTACATTGATTTTGATTTATGTAAAATGATGTCTCTAATGAGGGTCTTGAAATAATTTTATGTGTCACTATAGGATTCTAGATGTCTGATACATGAAAAGAAACAGTTGAATTTAATTTAGATATTTTAGTGATGTACATATTTAATTTTCTTTATAAATATTTCATTATACTTGTTTTAATTTTCCAGGTGTTCAGATTTATTCGTAACACAGTAGGACAAAAGAATTTGGCAACCAAAACATTGGTGGATCAAAGATTTCTGATTTAATTTATTTACTAGAGTGTTTAAATACTCGGTATAATGTGACAAGAAAAAAGTCTTACTAGTTTGCCATATTTTAAAAAAATTTAATACAAATTATTCTGTTTTTTTAACCAAAAGATGTATTTTTATAGCTTGTAAAAATATGATGTGAGGGACGGGGAAAAATATAATGTGTCATGGTATAAAATATTGTGTCACGTTGTTTGGTATATACTTCACTAAATAACAAACTACCACTGACAGTGGGGCAAAAATATAAACATCGCTTTCAGCAAAACACATTTAGTAATAACCAAACTCATCCCCATCATTTGTCTCTGTAGATAATTTCAAAGCTGTGTTTGCCTGCATTTCCTCACAACTGGCAAAATAATTAGATTCTATGTTTAAGACTAGCTTTCAGTTCAATATTTTCTATTTACATTTATGGGTAAATAAATATTGACAGATATATTGTCAATTTGCATTGAATTTTTGAATTGTGTTATTGCTGACTCAGTTTACTTCATTCTTCCTGCCCACCCTATTGGTCTATTGGGCAATGCTGAGATTCTCTGTCAGATATCTCATGAACAGTGCCATTCATTCTGCTGCACACCTGAGCTGGAAGGTTACAATATTCTTTCCAAGAAGCGTGTCTGCATATCTAATACACACATTTATTCTACTAGAATGTGTAGTGTTTTTTCCTCATGTAGGTTTTTTTACACTTTTAATTTCTTAGTATTTTAAGAATACTCTTTCAAAGTTATGCTGTTCAATTATGTTTAAAGATTATAAATAACTAAAGTATCATGTCAGATTGACAAGGAAACTTACTCAAAGCATTAGGCTTCATTTTTTTAATATGAAAGAAATTTGGGTCAAAATATGGTTATCATATAGCTAATAATTTTTCACATTTTTTTCTTCAACATACACCCTTAATTCTTTTCATAGTCTCCTGTATACTTGAAAGCCTTCAACATGATGGTCATGAACTCCCAAAACATTTCTTACTGCTTTCTACATTGATGCCGTATCAATACTTAAGTACAATGCAATATAAATACTGCTTATATTTATGAATTGAAAATACATAATAAAGCATTTGGAGTTTGGCTTCTTGTTTGATGAATGAGCTAGCATTCAAGGATAGGGCAGGACGCCATTAACAGAGCTGAGTCTGTCACTGCTCCCTGGATCTTCAGGATCAATGAGGAGACAAAGAGAGGAAAAGTCAATAAAGTCTTTGAAACTCCAGTTTCTGAAGCGTTACAGACATACCTAATTGTCTCTGCAGAGATAAATAGATATTTGTCTCTGCAGAGACAAATAAGTATATCTGTATCAGCATAGATTTTTCAAGCATCCATTCAGGAGCACATGTATGAAATTTAGGCCTTATTTATTCATGACAATTTCCTATGAGTGGAAATGTTTTTAAATGGCAAAATTTAAAATATATAATCAAGTGGCCCATTTGCTGATAAATGGAAGCAGAGAAGATATTCAAAATCATTCTAAATTAGTCTTGAACAGTATTACTTTGTATTTTGGTTAAATACAAAGTTAAATAGTGTGTTCAGATTTTCACATACTGTCCACTCCTTTGCTCACATTGTACAATTTAAATTCTAAATCTATAATTTTCCACCAAGTCTATTACCTTTTGCCAACTTAAGTAGCTCCCATCTCTAGTTTTAATGATTGCCTAGAAATATTTGCTGGCTGTCTTCATCATTTCATTTCATAATGACACAAACTCTACAGAGGGTCATTTAAGCTGCTGTGCACTCTGTATCCACCTTCAAAATATTCTGCAGACAAGCCTGTTAGGAGAGATTGATGAGCTTGATGTGCTTGCTTCTGTGGTATTTGCTGGCCTTCATGCAAGGAAAGCATTCCCACTTCATCTTCCCAGAGCTTGTAAGCATGGAGCATGTGACTGGACAGTATTACCTGAGGGAGGATAAATTTAAGTCATAGGTCAGTGAGCAGTATGACTTACTAGGGACTGTTCAGGTTTAGTCATAGAAACCTGAGTCATTTGGTTTTAAAGAAAAGTTTTTGTCCCTCTTAGGTGCTTTTGGATTATGGATCAAGCTATTTGACATAGAGTTTCATTCTGCATGTCTATAACGGAAATAATAGCCTTCATTTGCTACTCAAGGAGTTGTGAAAAAGTGTATATTAAAGTATGCTGGGGCTGGGAAAGTGGCTCAGTGGTAGAGTGCTTGCCTTGCATGCATGAGGCCCTGGGTTCAATTCTTCAGCACCACATAAGCAGAAAAAACCATAAGTGGCACTGTGGCTCAAGTGGTAGAGTGCTAGCCTTGAGCAGAAGAGCTGAGGGACAGTGCCCAGGCCCAAAGTTCAGACCCACAAAAAAACAAACAATAAAGTATGCTTACAACAGGAGGCTGAGGGTGTAGCTTAGTCATAGAAAAGACAAACAATAGGAAAATGAGCGAAGAGAGTTTCCAAATGACTTGATTATATGAAAAAGTAATTTTATCAATCATCATGAAAATGCAAATTATACCACTAGGAAACCACCCAAACAGCTAAAATAGTTAAACTATGTATTGTTGGAAGTGTGCACAGATGAACTTTTATTACAAGGATGAGTAGAGTTTATCTGTAAGTTTCCGCTGGACTGTTGGCAAATCTTAAGAGATATGAAGCCGATCTTGTGTGTTAACCCAGCAACGACAGCAGATGGCAGTAGAGTGCACACTAAGCGTTTGAGGACTGGGCTCAACATTCCTATGTAAATTCAGCTCTGGCAGAGCTCCCACTGCCGCAGATCCCGGAGAAACTACTCTCCTTACCCATCTCTCTCTTCCCTCCCTTGACACCTCTCCGCTGTCTCTCCCTTTACAGCCCAGAGTGCTGGGCCGCTCAGATAACTTGGTGCTGTCTTTCTAATCTAGTTTGGAAATTGAATGCAAAAATTAGAAATATACTGTCATTTATCTCCTAGGAAAGAGTACCTCAGAAAAAAGGAGCAAATTATCTAATGATTATGGAGTTCTCCATTTCTTATTTTAATAAACTGTATATTTACATGAAAATCTTTTAAGGCTGGGAAGGTGGCTCAGTGGTAGAGCGCTTGCCTTGCATGCATGAGGCCCTGGGTTCGATTCCTCAGCACCACATAAGCAAAAAGAAAAAGAAGAAAATCTTTTAAAATTAAGCTATTGTCCATACTATGTAATGTCCTTATGACATTTCCTATGTGACATTTTCTTATATACCATGATTCACATTGTCATAATGTAACATACATGTCATGTTATTATATGTTACATTTTAATGTTCCAACTTTAAACTTTATCAAAAGTCAATATAGAGGCTGGGAAGGTGGCTCAGTGGTAGAGTGCTTGCCTTGCATGCATGAGGCCCTAGGTTCAATTCCTCAGCACCACATAAGTAGAAAAAGTGGAAGTGGCGCTGTGGCGCTGTGGTAGAACACTAGCTTTGAGCTGAAGATCTGAGGGACAGCATCCAGGCCCAGGGTTCAGGCTCCATGACCAACAACAACAACAAAAAAAGTCAATATAGTTTCAGCAACCATGAAGCCCACTTCCTTTAAAGTTTAAGATTAAAGCCTCCATATTAAGCAAAATTATAAATGTTTTCTCAAATGTACAAGTATGCATGATACTTTACATAATATTTGTACTTCTTGAACTCAGAGCCTTGAACTTGTTTGGTGCTCGAACAGTTAAGCCACACTCACCGTGGCTTTAGCTAGTTATTTTCAAGATAAAATCTCATGGAATTTTCTGCCCATGCTGGCTTCCAACCTTGATCTTAGCTTCCTCAGTAGCTAGGATTACAGGCAAGAGCCACTGGTGCCCAAAAACTTAATTTTTTTTAAATTTCTTGTATTCATTCTCATACCAGAAACAAAAGAAAGAGAGTCACTTGATCTAAGAGAGCTGTGAACCTGCTACTGGGTCCTGGTCTCTTACAAGGTACCCCTAATTTGGATCTGTTTCTTTTCCTTTGGGGGACAGTGGAATTTACCTATAACATCACAAACTATTTTGAATTTCTGCTTGTTAATGCACCTTCATCATAACTATTTGAACATATATAAACAACTTACTTATATACACTTTCCAACCATAAATCTTTTGTTTTTACAAATGACATAGCAAATATAAACAAGATTTTTCGCTAAAGATTTCCACCACTACTCTTCATATTAGACACCCGAGCACAACTATGTAACAGAAAAAGAAGCTCCTAAGTCATGAGAACCTGGAGCGGTTCTGCACTCTTCATTGATGGAAAGGCCAGGTATGTGGCCACTGTCTTATCCCAGGGGTCTGCGACACATCTGGAAGGAAGGAATGACGGGCAGGTATTTTAGTTAGGGTTACTATCTGTATAATGAGGAGCCCCTAGGTAAGGTCTTAGGCTGTCATAACTGTGTGTTCCTCTCAAGCATAATTTATAAATATATATTCAGAGGTTTGCAAGTACCAGGTGCTGTGCTAGGTGCTGAGGATGTATGCATGGATAATATATGGCCTCTACTTTCATAGAGCTTAATAATTGAATGGAAAAGAATGAACAACAAGTAAATACAAGAACACTAAGCACTTCGGTAACAAAGCACCACAATTTGGAGGCATAATGCCATATACAAAATTATCTTTTTGTTTGTTTTTGTTTGTTGTGGGGCTTGAACTCTGGGCCTGGATGCTGTCCCTCAGCTCTTCAGCTCAAGGCGAGCACTCTACCACTTGAGCCATAGCGCTACTTCCAGTTTTTTAGTGGTTAATTGGAGATAAGAGTCTCACAGACCTTCCTGCCTGGACTGGCTTTGAAACACGATCCTCAAATCTCAGCCTCCTGAGTAGCTAGGATTATAGGCATGAGCTACAGCTACCTGGCTATGAAATTATCTTACAGGGCCAGAAACAGACTTTAGTAGACTAAACTCAAGAAATTAGCAAAATTTGGCTTTACCTTGGATTACATAGCTAGCTGAATATGGCTGGACACACTGAACAGTTCTCATTTCCTTGAGTCTCTCTCAAAGCCATCATTACACACAAATCGGTGGATCCTTATCCAGAAGGAGGAAAAACCGAGCTCAGAACACAAAGCCAAAGGCAATCATCTGAATCTGCTCCTTGCTGGGGTCAGCTGTTGGTTCCTGCACGGCTCCACATTGACCCCTGCCTAGTGCAGCCAGCTTTGTGAAGAACTAAGGAACAGAACAGCTGGAGGCAGACCAAGGCATTAAA